ATCTTGCCAGTGTTTAGGGAGACTCCAGTGAGAGTGGAGCCAACGTATCAAAAGCCAGGAGAGAGAGATGGAGACAAACTGGTACTGGGGACATGGCTTGTTCATTTCCAGCAGTACCTGATCCCACCCCTAACCCTACACTTTTTTTTTTTTTTTCTGTAAGAGACAGGGCTTCACTCTGTCCTCCAGGCTGGAGTTAAGTGGTGCAATCATAGTTCATTGAAGCCTCAAACTCTTGGGTTCAAGCAGTCCTCTAGCTTCAGCCTCCCCAGTCGCTGGAACAATAGGCTGTGCCACTATGTTCAGTTGTTTCTGTTTTGAGATAAGGTCTCACTCTGTCGTCCAGACTGGAATGCAGTGGTGTGATCATGGCTCACTGCAGTCTCAACCCCCTGGGCTCAAGCAATTCCCCCACCTCAGCCTCCCGAGTAGCTGGGATTACAGACGTGTGCCACCATATCTGGCTAATTTTTGTATTTTTTGTAGAGATGGGGTATCGGCCATGTTATCCAGGCTGACCTCAAACTCCTGGGCTCAAGCAGTCCTCCCACCTGGGCCTCCCAAAGTGCTGGGATTACAGGGTGAGCCACCATGCCGGGCCCTCTACACTTTTTAATTGAGCCAATACATTTTTTTTTTTTTTGTATTTAAGTCAGTTTGGTTTGAATTTTCTATCATTTACATTAAAATCAAATTAAATGACACAGCAATGTCTGTATCAGGTCCAGAATTACACTGCTAGCCCCCGAAGTGGCTTCACTTGGTAACAGTAACTTAGAGGGATAGGAATTCTCCATCCTCAGTCGTGTTCTGATCTTGTATTATAATCCTCTCTTTCACAAACAGATGTTTGCTTCATCTAATAAGCCTTATATAATTTCCCTTGCAGGCTGGGATCAGTTTTTCTCAGTAAACACTTTTGTTAGAGTGATATACATTCTTTTTTTTTTTTTAATTAAAAAAAAATTAAAAAAATAGAAACGGGATCTTGAGGATAGGATAGCTATTCTTAGCTGTTGGTGACCTAACAGCTACCCTGTCCTACCCTCCTCTTCCATGATAATAAAAATTGATTTTTATTCAGAGCTGCAAAGCCCCAGAAGATGAGTCATGATTTAATCTCATTACCCTTTATCACATAACTGCTTTCCAGCCTTCCTTACAGCTAAGTTTGGCCATGGAACCCAGTTCCATGGCTTCTACTCTTAGAAGGCACACATATACAAGCATTTTCATGTCTGTAATCACTCAGCAAATATTTGCCTTTGTACCATGTAGTGTGCTGGGCACTAGCACAGAGATGAACAAAACATCTGGTCATTAACTTCCTTTACCTTCATGACTTTTTTTTTTTTGCCTGTGTTTGAGAACAATACAAGGTGGCATTAGTGGCTTTAAAACCCCAAGATATAACCTGAAATTTTAATCTTGTTTATTCATTCTCAGAGTGCCTTGCTAAATTACATCTTGTTAATGTGTGGTGATCACGTTAGATCTGAAGTCTATATAGGCCAAACATGCATTGATAGAAATTCTATTTCTTTTTTGATACAGTCTTATCTGTACTTCTTTTTTTTTGGAGAGTGTTTTGCTCTTTTGCCCAGGCTGGAGTGAAGTGGTGCAATCTCGGTTCACTGCAACCTCCGCCCCCTGGGTTCAAGTGATTCTCCTGCCTCAGCCTCCCTAGTAGCTTGGATTATAGGCACCCACCATCACATCTGGCTAATTTTAGTATTTTTAGGAGAGATGGGGTTTTGCCATGTTGGCCAGGCTGGTCTTGAACTCCTGACCTCAGGTGATCCACCTACCTTGGCTTCCCAAAGTGCTAGGATTATAAGCATGGGCCGTAGTGGCTGGCCTGTACTTCTTATGTGACAGTGTAAAATGAAGGCCACTATGTATTTCAATTAATGGCATCTAAACTTGGTTCCTCACTTGGGTAGGACACGGAGCAGTTTCTTTTTTTGTGAATTCTAAAGCAAACCTTGTTAACTCTGAACAGCTCTTGAGAGATGTGATGTCAGAAGTATGTATTGAGCACCTAAAGTCTTTACCTTCAGTTTTTCTAAATATTTTACCTCCAGTTGATGCCACCTCTGAATCCACATTTGGAAATTCATAATTCTTCAGATATTTTTTCTTTTATGGGGTAGAACCTCTCATGAATACTTTTTAGTGGGTTGAAACATAGTTACACAGCATTAATATTTACAGTCACCTAAACTTATTTCTTTGTTTACCGAGCCTCATCTCCGTGCCTCTAGATGAGATTGTGCACCTGAACTGCAGGCTCCCTTTAGGACCTCATTGGCATTGCCTTGTGATGACTCACCATTATAGTAAATTCCACCCAGCTCAAACTAATCCCAAAATAGGGTTCAGGGATTACCGACAAAGGCTAGGCTAATTCTTTGCATAACAGCCGAGTGGTAGAGCAGAAAAAAACAGGAATCAGAGAGTCCTAGATTCAAATTCCAGTTTGACCATTTGCAGACACTTTGACTTAGAGCACTTTAAGTATCATCACCGAGCCTCCCTTCCTCATTCGTGAAGAGGGATCATATTACTCACCTTATAGCATTTGTGTTGTAAGGAGTCAATAAGATCATCATACGAGTGAAGTGCCAAAGACCATGCCTGGCCCACAGATGTCATTAAACATGGTAGCTGTTTTCTCCCTAACTATAAAGCAGCATCATTGTCTGAGGTAAATACCTGAAGTTCATCATCTCACGCCAGGGAAATCGGGGATACGGACACATAAGAAGTGAATTTAAGAGCAGAGATTTAGCAGGGGAAAGAAAAAGAGAATAGCTCTCTCCTGCAGAGAGAGAGGGACGGCCTAGTGGGTCTTCCGGTTTCATGGTGAAATGCATGGGATTTTGTAGAGGAGCTTGAGGAGGTGGTGTCTGATTTACACAGGGCCTGAGAGGTTGGTCAGACCAGGCGTTCCATTTGCATAGGGTGCAAAGAAGATGGCTATCCCACCCTAATCTTTGATTATGCAGATGGGGTCTGTACCTGGCTGGTGCCATGTTGTCTGCTTTTTTACTGCACATGTGGTGACAAAGAAAAGGAAAAAGAGAATCTCCGTGCTGAATATACCTGCCTTCCAGGTATCCCTTTTCTATTGGCACAGCTGCTGGCAGTTACCTATGGAGGCTTTTAGCTTGCTTATCTATGCCTGCACCTTGATTTTTTGGGCTGCTTTTTATTAAAAGGAAACCTTATCGAGGACTCTCTCACCCTTACTATCTGCCTAAATAATTTCTTTCTAGCTCCTGTATCAACTAGATTGAAAGTTCCATGAGACCTCAAATCTGATGGATCCCAGTTGCTGTTTTTCCAGTAACTAGAATAGTGCTGGGCACATGCTAGACACTTAACAAATACTTGGTAATTGATTGTTATAATTATTAGCATAAAAGTCAGGTAAACTCCAGTGCCTTCTTCAAAGAATCCTGCCTCCATCCTCTTTTTCAAATTAAGTCCAAGCACAAATCTTTCCATGAAGCCACATCTGTATGCTCTAATCTGTAGCTATTTCATGCTTAACTGGCACACCTCCTCCCCTCCTTACCATTTACTGTCAGGATTAAACAGGAGTGCACTGCATATACAACGTAGGGCCTAGATGATTTCTCCATATCTTTGAGTCTTGTCTTCTTAAAATTCAATTCTACCAGTCATTCTTGATTTTTAAGCAATTGCTGGGCAGTGTGCTGGGTTCTAGAAAAGAAACAGTATCTGCCTCTAGGAGCATCTAGTCTTTCAGTGGATACAGCTTTGTAATCTAACAATTACATCACAAGGTGATATGAAAAACTATATGCACAGAGTATGTAGGTAGCAGAGATGGGAGAAAGTAATTAACTTTCTCAAAAATCAGGTTATAAGGAAATGTGACTTCTCAAGGAAGGTTAGGAATTTTCCAGCTGGTGAAGGTGGGAGAAGAATATTCCAAGGAGAGTAAACAATATGTGCCCAAAGGCATGAGATAGCAGGATATTATCCTGGAGAACATAGAAGCAATTCAGTACTGTTGGAGCATAATGAAGAAGCTGGGAAGTAAGGAGGGGGCCAGGAAATTGAGGGTGATAAGTTCAGAGACAGAGCCAGTGGCCATATGTAGCAAAGTTTTGAATGTCATAAATACTGTAGGTGACGGGGACCCTGGAATGGGATTATCTGAAGAAGTTTAGAAATGACCATTGATGGCAGGGTAGAAAATACACCAGGAGAAAAAGTAAAAGAGATTAAAGCTGCACAATACTTCAGGAAGAAGTATGAGTGGTCTAGATGAGAAACACTGAGGGCCTGATGTGTAGCAGGACAAGCCGCAGACAAAACTCCTCAGACACAGAGTTAAAGAAGGAAGCAGTTTATTCGGCCGGGGGCATCGGTAAGACTCCTGTCTCAAGAGCCAAGCTCCCGAGTGAGCAATTCCTGTCCCTTCTAAGGGCTCACAACTCTAAGCGTGAGAGGGTCGTGATGGATTGAGCAAGCAGCAGGTATGTGACTGGGGGCTGCATGCACCGGTAATCAGAATGGAACAGAACAGGACAGGGATTTTTACAATGCTCTTCCGTACAATGTCTGGAATCTATAGATAACATAAGTGGTTAGGTCAGGGGTCAATCTTTAACTACCAGGCCCAGGGCGTGGCACCAGGCTGTCTGCCTGTGGATTTCATTTCTGCCTTTTAGTTTTTACGACTTCTTTCTTTGGAGGCAGAAATTGGGCATAAGACAGTATGAGGGGTGGTCTCCTCCCTTAGACTGAGTCAGTGCTGATGAGACAGAAAGACAGATTGAGCTGATTTTTAGGAGACAAAATTCAGAATTGATAAGGCTAGCTTGGACTTCGGGTGTAGGTAGATAAAAAGGAGAAAAAAATAGCACTGTTATTGTTGTGTATCTGTTACTCGGTAAAATGTAATGCTAATCACATAAAAATGCTCAGAAATAGTTCTTTAATAAGTAAGTCTTCATAGAATTATCTGGTCTTGATTTAATTTTATTTCCAATTTTAAAATTACTTTCTATTAACTAGAACCTTCCATGCTTTACCCAGCCTCTTGGTGTGTTTCCAGTCTACAGGGATTCTCTTAATATTTCCAAGTGATTTACAAGCAGAAAACTAAAAGGTGACTTTGTTTTCCAACCACATATTTATCTATTTAGATAGTCATTAGCATAGTATTCAAAAAGCCATCTGAGAATGACGTTGCATGACTAAAAACAAAGAAGGAAAGATGTCAAACCTCAAAACACAAGCATGAACCTTCTTTTCATTGCAGGCCACATAGAGGAACACCACAATTTTTCTTAGTATTGAAGTTCATCTCAACCTCAACCAATCTTTAACTGTGTATCATAAACACAGGTTTTTTTTCATAGAAAACAATTTCTAGTTTACAGAAAAAAATGTCAAACTCAGTCTATCAGAGCTTTAGAATTATCATGGAAGATGAACAACAAAGTATAAGCAAAATTGCTTGTTTTTGTAAGCTAACTGCAACTACAGAGATGAGAAAGTCTTCCATTGATATGATGGCTATCGTGCATATATTTTTATATATTTCTAAGGATTGAAAGGAGAACTATCAGGGCTTCAGATACATTTTGAAGAGATAATGTTATGTATTTATTTTGAGACAGGGTCTTAGCTCTGTCACTCAGGCTGAAGTGCAATAGCAAGATCACAGGTCACTGCAGCCTTGACCTCCGGGGTTCAAGTGATCCTTCCACCTCAGCCTCCTGAGTAGCTGAGACTACAGGCACTTACCACCATGCCTGGCTAATTTTTAAAATCTGTAGACATGGGGGTCTCACTATGTTGCCCAAGGCTGATGTTGAACTCCTGGGCTCAAGCAATCCTCCTGCCTCAGCTCCCAAAGTGCTGGGGTTACAGGCACGAACCACCACTCCTGGCAAGGAGATAATTTTATTTATTTATTTATTTAGCTATTTTTTTTGAGACAGCGTCTTGCTCTGTCACCCAGGCTGGAGTGAACTGGTGCCATCTCAGCTCACTGCAACCTTTGCCTCCCGGGCTCAAGTGATTCGCCTGCCTCAGCCTCCTGAGTAGCTGGGATTACAGGTGTGCACCAACACGCCCAGCTTTTTATTGTATTTTTAGTAGAAATGGGGTTTCACCATGTTGGCCAAGCTAGTCTCGAACTCCTGACCTCAGGTGATCTGCCTGCCTCAGTCTCCAAAAGTTCTGGGATTACGGGTATGAGCCACCATGCCTGGCCAAGGAGATAATTTTAAATGATCAAAAATTTTGAAGGCATATCATACATGTACGTGTATGATCTCTGAAAAGTGTTTTAAAGATAAAGTCAGCAAAGTATAGCCTGTTGGCCAAATCCGACCCACCACCTGTTCTTGTAATGCTGTTAATTAAGAATAGTTGTTGCATTTTAAAATTTTTAAAAGGTTGAAAAAAATCAAAAGAAGAATAAAATTATCTGAAATTCCAATTTCAGTGTCCATAAATAAGGTTTTATTGAAGCACAGTTCACTCATCCATTATGTACCAGCTGCATTCATGCTACAATAGCAAAGCTGAGTGGTTATGACAAGACTTTCTGGCCAAGAAAGCCTAATGTACTTACTAGCTGCCTCTTTCCAGAGACTGTTTGTCAGCCCTGTTTTAAGAGCTTTCCTCTAAAGAAACACAAGCCTTTAGTAAACTGAAGACTTCTTCATAAAGATTTTCTGTGTCAGTCATACATTATGTTAAAAAAAAAGAAAATACATGAATTTAGTAAACATAAAATTGATGTTATAGACTAAAATAATAGGCTTGCCTTTATATTTAGGATACTTATTTTCCCACCTTATGTCAGTAGCATAGTTACAAGAACACATGCTTTAGGGTGGTCATTCTTTTTTCTTGAATCTTGATGAGCTTTGCATGACCTTAGGCTAGTTATCTAACCTCTAGTAAGCCTTAGGTTTCCTACAAGAACAGAATAATAACCATACCAACCTCATGGGAGTATGGTAAGTACCAAAATGGGTAACTGGGGCATTTTTTGGGGGGAATTACTTAGCTTGTTATCTGGTAGTAGGTGTGCAATAGATTATAATTATCATCATTCTCTGAAAATGTCACTTTTGCTTTCTGGTGCTCCATTCCTAGTACTGCCTGTAAGGTCTGCTTTGACAAGGAAATCTGTAAGACCGTGCCAACATCATTTTGCATAGCCAGAGCCCCTCTCTGTGTTACAATCTGGAGAAAAACTATCCTCAGGTACATGAATCCAAGAACACACTTGACAGAAGAATGGAAAAAGGGAAGCCTAGGAAGTTTAGAAACAAAAATCATAGTGATGAGCGGTGCTGGAAGGCTGGTCAGCAGCCAGAGTAAGCTTGTGAGCAGCATATTGGGATTTTTTTTTTCCACGTTAGACTCTATTCCAACTCTTTCTATGGAGAGCCCACGGTTTTGTGATGGGTTGTTGATGAAGGAAAGCTCTGAATTTTTTAGAGTAGATGAAGTGTTTGTCATTTTATTCCATTTTATGTTAGGTTCACACTGCCATTTTTCTTTTATTATTTGATGTCTTAGCTGATGACATCCCAGGCGACTCCCAGGAGAAAAGTACTCGGAAAATCATGAGGGTGCAGTTACTGAAGACTCAGTGATTTCTTTTTCGCTGGGCTTGTTCTGCCTTTAGAATCGTTGTGACTGTGGATTCCTGCAGAGGAACTAGGGCCTGGGGACCTCATGGCTCCTCAGCTATGATGCACGTTCTCTTTTCTTCCCTTATCTCAAGTAGGTCCTGAGCAGCCCAGCCCAGGTGGTCTCTTCTGCTCACCAGGGGTGGCCTGGACTCAACGGATAAGAGCCCTCTTTTCTTGGCCCTTACAAAACAAATCTCTGCCTAAAGACAGCTAAAGGGGAAAAAAACACCACCAAGCCAACAACTCCTTTGTACCTCCATTATCCCCAAAATTAGATAAAGAAAAGTTAGAATACCAGGAGGCAGCAGACACCTCCACAATGCAGCTTGGAAGCAGAATTTCTGTAGATCTACTGTCTTTTTTTTTTTTTTTTTTTTCAATCACATAGAAGAGTTTGTACAAATCTCATTTGTTTTCACTTCCTGCATTTTTGTGTCTTGACACATTATTTTGAGGAAAATTCCTCTGAATTTTATGCTTGCTCTTCAATTACGGTTGAACAGGAACTGTTAATTGAGTTTAGCCACTCAAAAGAACAAAGTATTTCATCATTCTCACATATTCTGGTTGGATTCATGGTTAAAGAAGACAAATAGAAACACACATCAGCCTGGTGTGGGGATAAAACCAAAAACAGCGATGCTCACAGGCATGCCTGAGAGTGGAATGGTGATGGTGGGGGGGTGCCTGTTTACTGGTAGTAGGAGTAACTCTCGTCATCGTATTCCAGCTCATCTTCGTCATCGTCATCCAGCAGCCCATATTTAAATTTCCGGTAGACTGTGCCATCCTGGCCCATGTAGACGATGTCATCATCATCATCCTCATCATAGTCCCGATCCCTGTACTCAATCACCTGATCCTCTTCAAAGCTGGTGCTCTCTCCATAGCTGCTCTTATAGGAGGAGTAAGACTTGTTGGGGTCGGCCAGCTTTTCATAGCCGGCCTTTGCTGCTGGCTGGACTCGGCCGCGAGATTTCTTCCACACGACCACAGCTGCCCCGAGCAGAAGCGCTAGCATCACGGAGGAGGTGATGAATAGAGCTGTCTTGAAGTGCTCAGCTGCAGGCCTAACCTTGCTTGTTCGAAGGATGCACTCTTCTGTTGGAGGAAGATCCCAAGGGAAGAGGCAAGAGGGAAAAAGTAGAAGAAATAGAATAGAGAAAATTAGATTCTGAAGTAAAGAATTTCACCTTTATTTTAAAAATTGAAAATGGTAGAATCACTGTCTCTGATTTTCCTCTTTTTTTAATTTTAATTTTAATTTTTTGTAGAAACAACTTCCCACTATGTTGCCCTGGCTGGTCTCAAACTCTTGGGCTCAAGAGATCCTCCCACCTTGGTCTCCCAAAGTGCTGAGATTACAGACGTGAACCACTGCACCCGGCCTGTCTCTAATTTTCCTAGAAGGCATACCACTGTATAAAATTGGAGTATGTAGCCCGTGAGAATCCTAGCCTATGTCTGATGAAGCCAATAAATCCTTCTAGAAAGAAGGTCAGTTTGCCATCCAAAGGGAGTTCCCTTATCCCCGTACCTCATAGGTCAGTCATCAAGTATCCAACCTTATCAACTGATTCTTCTATTTCCCTCCTAAGAAAATATTTCATCTTGGACCAAGCTTTAGTTATTGCTAAATGCTCTATTTTCTTTCCCAATTCCAACTTCTTTTCTAAGACTGAGTCCTCTCCCAAGGTACCCTTAAGCCTGGGCCAAGATGACTGTCCCACCACTTAAGGGCAAGAGCAGATAATTTATAAAACTACTGACTCTGAGAGCCATGTGGGGCCTTAGAAATTACTTAGGCCAATTTGTTGTTTGACATTTGAGGGAACTAAAGTCCATTGAGAGGAAGTGAATTGTCACATTGTCAGAGACAAGACCTTATTTGTGGAGCAATCAGAATTCAAATCCAGGAATCTTAGCTCCATGGTACGGTCTAAAGACATTAGGACAAAAGGCTCTGACAAGTGTTCTTTGGCTTCTTGGAGTTTTGTGCTCCTAGCCTGGCAGAAAAAGAAGTACCATCTTTAAATCCTATCAACTTGAATGATAGGGAATTTTTTTCTATCATTATTAAGAGTTGTTTTCTTTTTTTTTTTGAGATGGAGTATCTCTCTGTCGCCCAGGCTGGAGTGCCGTAGCACAATAGCTCAGCTTACTGCAGCCTCTGTCTCCCAAGCTCAAGCAATTCTCGTGCCTTAGCCTCCTGTGTTGCTGGGACTACAGGTGCACACCGCCATGCTTGGCTAACTTTTGTATTTTTAGTAGAGATGGGGTTTCATCATGTTGGTCAGGCTGGTCTTGAATTCCTGACCTCAGGTGATCCACCCTTGGCCTCCCAAAGTGCTGGGGTATAAGCCACCACACCCAGCCATTATTAAGATTTTTGAAATCCAGAGCTCCGATCCCTGTCATCCATCAGCCTTTGTTTTGATGCCTTGATTGAGAATATGGAGTAACCAAAACAGTTTCATGGAAGGAAAGATTCAACTGTAACTTCAGTGATGAGGATGAGCTCATTTTTCTTACTTATTCATTTATCCAGGTGGTATGATTTGGGTAGTATGTCTATTTTTTTTCTATTCTTTAACCCACCACATGGGAGTATGAAAGAACCAGAGAAAAAAACTATCAGGCCATGTTGGATGTACAGGCTGAGATACACGTAGGTTTTTCATAAATATTTGTTGAACCTCTTGGATCTCTCTTGTTCAGGGGGTAATTTCATGAACAATTCTAGGTACATTCTACACACTAGATAAATAAATATAACACTGCTGCCAAGGTGCAATGATTTTTGCTTATTAAATATTGACCAATTAGATCTGATTCATCATGACTGTGTATTTCTCTTTCTTTTTTGCTAGTGAGAAACAAGTTTTCTACTTTATCATAATTTTCATTCTCATGGGATTTTACCTATCAAGCCAACTTTCTTCTTCTAAAGTAACAGCCCTATCATTATTACATTCATCATTAGCAAGTTCAGGACAGAATTTTTCCCTGGAGAAAACATTAAAGCAATGGAGAGATTGATAAGCAATCTGTGTGTGGTACTGTGAGATAAACACTGCCTGAAGCAGTAGAATCAATATAAAAACCTTTCGATGTTGTTTCAATTACTAGGGTGCCATATGCAGTCATGGCTTGCTTACTATTCTCCATCCCAGATCTGCAGAGTCAGGGTTAGCCTCTGTGATATGGTTTCCTTGAAGGGGCAGAGTGTCTCTGTAAAGAAGGATCAGGTAATCAAGAGCATTTAGACTTTTGCAGATTGCCGCAGGTGGCTCTTCAAGAGCTGCAGGGGGACCAGAAGAGCTGACAAGATAGTTCTTAGTTGGAACAGGCTTTCAGAAACTCTGCATGCAACATGCACAAACTTCTGGTTTCATTTAAAGGCGTTAATGTTGTGAGGGTTATTATTCTTAGCTGATACAGAATGGATACTAGCAATCAAACCCTGAAGGTAGGTGTGTCTGAAGAACAGGGAAAACCAGCTGCTCATGGGGTTGGGAAAGCTGAAAGCAGGAAAATGTTTTTGGAAAGATGATACTTAAAACCCAACTGAAAATGCTGATCAAGCCAGATGCGGTGGTTCATACCTGTAATCCCAGCACTTTGGGAGGTTGAGGCGGGCGGATCACCTGAGGTCAGGAGTTCGAGACCACTCTGGCCAACATGGTGAAACCTGTCTCTACTAAAAATACAAAAATTAGCCGAGTGTGGTGGCGCATGCCTGTAATCCAAGCTACTCTGGAGGCTGAGGAATCACTTGAACCTGGGAGACAGAGGTTGCAGTGAGCCAAGATTGTGCCATTGCACTACAGCCTGGGTGAGAGTGAGACTCCATCAAAAAAAAAAAAAAAAAGAAAGATGAAAAGAAAGGAAGAAAGAAAGGAAAGAAAGAAAGAAGACAAAAGGAAGGAAGGAAGGAAAGAAGGAAGGAAGGAAAAGAAAGAAGAAAGAAAGAAGGAAAGAAAGAAAAAGAAAAAGAAAGAAAGAAAGAAAGAGAAAGAGAGAAAGAAAAATGCTGATCAAAAATAAAAAAGAAGTGGCTGGTAGCAGTTATGGGTCTGGGATTTTCTTTTTTCTTTTTTTTTTTTTGAGATGGAGGTTCGCTCTTCTTGCCCAGTCTGGAGTGCAGTGGCGTGATCTCGGCTCATCGCAACCTCTGCCTCCCAGGTTCAAGTAATTCTTCTGCCTCAGCCTCCCTAGTAGCTGGGATTACAGGCATGTGCCACCACACCCGGCTAATTTTGTATTTTTAGTAGAGACAGGGTTTCTCCATGTTGGTCAGGCTGGTCTTGAACTCTCGACCTCAGGTGATCCACCCGCCTTGGCCTCCCAAAATGCTGGGATTACAGGCGTGAGCCAACGTGCCTGGCCTGGGTCTGGGATTTTTCTTTACTTACAAATGGACCAACTCAGAAATATGGCATCTCTTTTTGTAGGTGAATGTTACTTCTAGACCCCAAGGAAATTATCTACTTCTGGCCTAGAGAGTATATTTTAAGAATATATGTTTCTTTTTCTTTTTTTTTCTTTTAGAAAAAATCACTCAGTTTGAGATTTTTCTAAGTTTATGACCAACGAGAACCAAGTACCCACATGGATGGGGTTAGTTAGACTTGAGGATAGCTGAGGGACTGGAAATTGGTAAAGGGGATTTTACTTCTTCTTACCCTTCAATAAAAATTCATTTCTAAAATGTCATAAGTCTCTAATTAGAGGCCCCGGTTTGGGCTGACTTTCATAGAATGATTCTTCAACAGAATCAAGATAATATTGACATCAGCTTCCTTGATAGTTGATTCTTTTCCTTTTTTCCCAGGAGGGAAGAATAAAAAAAGGAACAAAGTAATTCATAAAGATAAAATGCTAGCTCTACTTGAGTTCTAGTCTTGGAGGCAAGTGGAGCATCTAATTCCAGATGAACCATTTTTTTGAAAAAAATTGAGCCAGCATCTTGCTCTGTCACCCAGGCTGAAGTGCAGTGGTGTGATCTCGGCTCACTGCAATCTTTGCCTCCTGGGCTCAAGAGATCCTCCCACCTCAGCCTTCTGAGTAGCTGGGACTATAGGCATGCACCACCACACCCAGCTAATTTTTGTATTTTTAGTAGAGATGGAGTTTTGCCATGTTGCGCAGGCTGGTCTCAAGCTCCTAGACGCAAGCGATCTGTCCACCTCGCCCTCCCAAAGTGCTAGGATTACTTACAGGCATGAGCCGACGCGCCTAGTCTCCAGATGAAACTTTTAATATTGGTGTGGACTTGGGCATGTGAATCAAACTCTTTGAGCCTCAGACTCCTCATCTATAAAATGGGACTGATAATCTCTACTTGTGAAGTGAGACAATGGACGTGAAGTTTCAAGTACAGTAGGCCCATAGTAGGCACTCAATAAAAAGATAGCCATATTGATTCTCCTGAACTTTCCATCCCCACTCCCTCTGCTCCCATTGGCTTCCTGAGGACATGCCCTTCCTCTGCAGGCTGCTCTTGCTCTCCCCTCACCCGTGGTGTCCTGGCAGTCGCAGCACTCCTGGGCACTGGTGGGATCGGAGGTGTTGCAGCAGTGGAGGCAGCGGCTGTCGTCCATGTGCAGCACCAGGTTGGCGGGGCACAAGGTGCAGTTCTTGGCCCCTGGTCCCTTGCATTCCATGCAGCTCTCGTGGCATTTTTCACAGTTAAACTTCTCTCCCTGGTAAGAGCAATCAAGAGGTTCCGTCTGAGTGCAGAGGGATTAACAAGCACTGGAGTTCCCAGATGGTATTTCATCTTGTCTCCATAAGGAGGGAGGTGTGTGGGGGACAGCAGAAGGATGGTGTGTTCTGAGCCCATTTTTAACTGTGCTGGGTGAAAGAACCCACTGTCTGTGATGGGGTGGAATCATGGCTGTGCCCTGCCCTTTGAGATCTGCTAATAACAGTGGGAGAACAGACATCTAGAACAGTTTGGGTTAGGAGCTGACAGCTCCTGTGCTCAAGGACAGCTCCTGTGCTTAAGGACAGCTCAGGTCAAGGACTAGTTTTGTCTGGCCCACACTGTTGACTTTCAGTTTAAAATATTTTGCATTCATTTCCCACATCTCAAAAGTGGGATATTTCACATGTAAATTCGTTCCTAATTTCTCTTTAGAAACTAGAAGACCTGTCAACACTGGATTCGTCACTCCCACGTGGCAATGGCCCCCCTTTCCACTCTTCTATTTGACACAATTCCCAGCACTTGCTATGATGTCACCAACATGTAGGTGATACATCAATTTCTACTTCCCTTCAAGCTTCAAGCTTACACTGTGGTTTTCTTTGACCCAGCATTTATGTTTGTGACCTGCTTGGCCCTCTGTGGTTACTGGATTATTGTGGTCAGGCCCCAGAATAATATAGATTGTGGCTGTGTAGCTCAAGTAGTTACATCTCTTTAGGAAGAGAGTGGAGAGATGAGAAGAAAGTGGCTTCCCTCCTGACAAGTTGCTCCTTGACTGGTGCTGGAAACGTGGGTTAGGGAAGGTGCCTTCCTGTTTTACTTCTGTAACTTTGGAAGTATGGTATGACAGAAAAAGAAGAAGGAATGGAAATTGCTTTTGTTGAGCACCTTGGCATGTTTCAGGCACTGACAAGGTGCTTTCTCAGCTGTTACTATCTCATTGAATCCTGCATCTCACATATTATCTCATCCTTCAGGTTTAATCCCAGCTTTGTTACTTACCACTCATATAATTTTTTTTTTTTTTTTTTGAGACAGGGGCTTACTTTATTGCCCACGCTGGAGTGCACTGGTGTGATCGGATTCAAGCAATCTTCCTGCTTCGGCCCCACATATAGCTGGGACTACAGGCATACACCACCATGTCCAGCTAATTTTCTTTTTTTGTATTTTTTGTAGAGATGGGGTTTCACCGTGTTGCCCCGGCTGTACTCATATAATCTTTAACACATTATTTAACCTCTTTGAGCCTCAGTTTCTCTGAACTGTAATGAGGGCTGTTGCCAGAATTTAAAGAGAACTCATACGTAAATATATTAGTTTGTGTTAATGTCATCATGGGGAAATTTACTTATTTTCTAAAGTTTGAAAACACAATCAAGAAATTTGTGGTCTTGCCGGGTGCGGTGGCTCACACCTGTAATCCTAGCACTTTGGGAGGCTGAGGTGGGTGGATGGCTTGAGCCCAGGAGTTCGAGACCAGCCTAGGCAACATGGTGAGACCCCGTTTCTACTAAAAATACAAAAAATTAGCTGGGCATGGTTGTCAGAGGCATTTGAACCAGAGCAACTCCATCTTGAATAGGGGCTAGGTAAAATAAGGCTGAAACTTAGTGAGCTACATTCCTAGATGGTAAGGCATTCTAAGTTACAGGATGAGATAGGAGGTCGGCACAAGATACAAGTCATAAAGGCCTTGCTGATAAAACAGCTTGTAGTAAACAGCCAGCCAAAACCCACCTAAACCAAGATGGCAATGAGAGTGACCTCTCGTGGTTCTCACTGCTACACTCCTACCAGCGCCATGACAGTTTACAAATACCATGGCAACATCAGGAAGTTACCCTATATGGTCTAAAAAGGGAAGCCATGAATAATCCATCCTTTGTTTAGCATATCATTAAGAAATAACCATAAAGATGGGCAAGCAGCAGCCCTCACAGCTGCTGTGTCTATGCAGTAGCCATTCTTTTATTCCTCTACTTTCTTAATAAACTTGCTTTCACTTTGCCCTATGGTTTTGCCCTGAATTCTTTCTTGTGTGAGATCCAAGAACCCTCTTTTGGGGTCTGGATTGGGACCCCTTTCCGGTAGCATCTTTCTGGCAACCACAGAAGTGACAATAGTGAGGAAACTCCCAACCCAAAGGCTAACTTTGCGTAAGTGGTGGGGACCAGTGACATGGTAGTCCCAGCTATTCAGGAGGCTGAGTTGGCAGGATCACCTGAGCCCAGGAGGTCAAAGCTGCAATGAACTGTAACTGCGCCACTGCACTCCAGCCTGGGTGAGAGTGAGATCCAGGCTTAAAAAAAAAAAAAAAAATTATGGTCTCAAAATCCATGGCAAATGAATCCTCATTTTTTTCCTTCCTTCCTTCCTTCCTTCCTTCCTTCCTTCCTTCCTTCCTTCCTTCCTTCCTTCCTTCCTTCCTTCCTTCCTCCCTCCCTCCCTCCCTCCCTCTCTCCTTTCTTTTCTTTTCTTTTCTGTTCTTTTCTTTTCTTTTCTTTTCTTTCCTCTCCTTTTCCATGGGGGGTTTTCTGGTAGAAACCAGAAAACCTGCTGTACAAATTCTAAAAGAGCTGTAACACTGCAAATGAATCCTTCTTAATACACTGTGATCGGGTAGAGGAAACAAAAGGTCAACATTAGCTGTGTTGCTCCTATGTTATTCACATGTTTCTGGTTAGACCAGAGAGAAGTAAGGGACAAGATAGTTTGTATTTCTGACATAATATTCTTATGTTGACTGAAACTTCTGTGGTGATGAACAACAAATAAAGAATTCATTCCAAGGCCCTCACGACTTAACTTCTCCATTAGCTTAGATCTTCTCAGTTCCTTTGGAGTAAAAGTTAAGGCTACAGGTGGGTAGCACCATTATTACATGATGCAATGGTACAAGATTTTAAAATATTAAACATACAGTATTTCTATAGTATGAGAGTGTTGGGACATTTTGATTGGCCAGAATGACATGCAGGAACTAAGCTCATGTTCCTCTCTGGAGAGAGCAGAAGGCCCAGCACCCCTAGCCCTCCATACCTCTCCCACTCTGTATTCCCCAACAAGACAGTCTGAGGTGCAGATCCCTCCCATGAGGTGGTAACTCCACACACAGGATAAGCAATTCAACGCTCCTTTTCCTGAAAGAGAAAACATTCTACGTTATGAGATTGACCTTAGATTTCAACCTCTGTCTCTGTTCCGGAACACTTAGGAACAAGGAATATGTCAAGTAAATTGAAGCGGAAGGGTGAATTGATTGAGGATATGAAAAAGAAAAAAGTCTCCCACACAAAGTAGAAATTATACAATTAGTTCAATCTATGTCGACTCTCAGTCTGAAAATTGAGGATTTGGGGATGACAGATATTTTATTACCGCAAGAGAAAAGATTTTCAGAGAATGAGAAATCATGTAGAAAGTGTATAAAACCTTTGTTATTCTGCTTATTGTTTAACTAGTGTGGAGGATGTTACCAGCTGTTTGGAGGACTGCAATACTCAGTGCATAAATCATGAATGGAGAGTTTCTAATTGAGAAACAGCACTAAACTTGGCACTTAAATGCTAGGGCTAAAAGGATTCAGCAGGTCATTTTGTTTGGTGGTTCTTAATTTCGGGGTGGTATTGATGGTGCTAGATTTCTTTGACATTCTCTTCAAAGCTGTAAGTTCTCTTCTCAGAAATTTGACACCTTATTTATTTCTCTTTTTGAAAATACTGATAAATGAAAACTAAGGCCCAGACATGTAATGCCACCTATCCAGGGTTACATAGGTGGTGGTCAAGATTCAAATTCAAGTTTGTTGACTCATAATCCATTGATCTGTCTGTCTTTCTTTTTGTTTTCTTTTGTTTTTTTTCAGATGAGGGTCTTGCTATGTTGCCCAGGCTGATCTCAAACTCCTGGACTCAAAGGATCCCTCTTGCCTCAGCCTCCAAGTAGCTGGGATTACAGATGTGTGCAATTGCGCCTTGCTGAGGTGCTCTTTCTACCACACTATCTGCCTTAGCACATGAGCCACCAAACAGAGGAGGTCTGAATCTACAGCCTCTGTTTCCTGTGGAGACAATACTCTTTCTCCTAATTCAGACACCCCAGAAAGGACCGACCCAAACATTTCTTCTATGCAGGTATCAAGGGATAACTTCTGGAAAGTTTGGGGACAGGAGATCTAAATCTAGCTCATTCTGTTAGGAAGTCCTGGACATTTTTGCTGATCATTTTAAAATGGGAACATAAGATTAATGGGCATAGAATGTGCCTGGTATTGTAAGTTGGAACTTGATATAGGTCTTCCCATCAGAACAATCCTGTAAAGGGTGGTTTTTGAACTTGAAATAGAACCATGGATCTGTCATTTACATTCACAATGTAGTTAAATTGACATTTCATGGCTGAACTGTGAGCTCAATCATTTATAATGTTTCTGTGGAAAAATAAATTCTGAGCTCCAAACAACAGCTTAGAGAATAAACACCTTTATTACTGAACTGCTTCTTAGGTTGGAAGCTGCCTGTAGTGATATAAATTCAAAACCACTTTATTTTTATCTTAGCTCTAGCTTCATACAGAATTTCCTACATGTTCTGGAACATTATTGTGGTCTCTGATGGAAGAATCACTCTTCTCCTATTTCCATTCTTCCTTTTTCCCATTCTACATTTTTCTAAAATATAGCTTAGATGTCTTACTTCAATTTTTAACATACAAGATACTTTTTTTTTTTTAAATGAAGAGAAATTAAGGGTAGATACATGTTCTCACTTTAATGTGGAATCTAAAACAATTGAACTCATAGAAGTAAAGAGTAGAATGGTGGTTACCAGAGGCTGAGGGGACTGGGGAGATGCTGGTCAAAGGGTATAAGGTTCTCGACAGGAAGAACATGTTTTTTGAGATCTATTATATCTCATGGTGACTATAATTAACAATAATATATTGTACTTTCAAAATTGGTAAGACAGTAAATTTCAGATGTTCTTACCACAAAAATGATTAAGTATTTGAAGTGATGGAATTTTTTTTTTTTTTTGGTGGAATCTTGCTCTGTTTCCCAGGCTAGATTGCAGTGGTGCAATCATGGCTTGTTGTAATCATGGCTCACTGCAGCCTCAACCTCCTGGGCTCAGGTGATCCTCCTACCGTAGCCTTCTGAGTAGCTGGTACTACAGGCTCACACCCCATACCCAGCAAATATATATTATATATTATTTATTTTTGTTTTTAGACAGAGTCTTGCTTTGTCACCCAGGCTGGAGTGCAGTGGCGCAATCTCAGCTCACTGCAAACTTTGCCTCCCAGATTCAAGCAATTCTCCTGCCTCAGCCTCCTGAGTAGCTGGGACTATAGGTGTGCACCACCACACCTGCCTAATTTTTTTGTATTTTCAGTAGAGATGAGGTTGCATCATATTGGCTAGGCTGGTTTCAAACTCCTAACCTCGAGTGATCTGCCTGCCTTGGCCTCCCAAATTGCTGGGATTACAGGCATGAGTCACTGCGCCTGGCCAAATTTTGTTTATTTTTTATAGACATGAGGTCTCACTATGTTGCCTAGGCTGGTCTCAAATTCCTGACCTCAAGTGATCCGCCCACCTTGGCCTCCCAAAGTACTGGGATTACAGGTGTGAGCCACTGTACCTGGCCTGATGGACATGTTAATTAGCTTGATTTAATTATTCCACATTGTATACATATATCATGACATCCCTTCGTACCCTATAAATATACATAATTATAATTTGTCAATTTATAATAAAATAAATTAAGAGTAGAAAACACTAAAAGAGGGGGAACAGTCCATAACTAGGTTAGGTCACAAAATTCCTACCTTAAGGTTGGTTACATTTTCTTTTTTTTTTCTTTTTGTTTTTGGAGACGGGGTTTTACTCTTGTTAGTAGAGACGGGGTTTCACCATGTTGGCCAGGCTGGTCTTGAACACTGACCTCAGGTGATCTGCCTGCTTTGGCCTCCCAAAGTTTACAGGCATGAGCCACCATGCCTGGCCAAGTTTGGTTACATTTTCCAGAAGACCAACAATAAATTGTCTGAGGCCCAGATCCTAGGCAATACCCAAGGGCACTATATGTCAGCTTTGGGTGACAAATCGGACTTCATTTACATCTCCTACACCGATTTATTGCAAAACTTGCACACTTAGGGTACTCAGAATCTTTAGCAAAAGGCACTTTGTTAATTTCCAGAAGGCTTTCTATTATTTTAAAGTTTAACACCCTACATCTATCATCGCTTCTAAGGTTCTGCGGGAGCTTTGGGACCTAAAAGACAGGCATTTTGTCATTTCTTTAAAACTCAGAGCAGCTCACCATCTGCTCTCCTTCAGACTGAATCCCATGGGATGAATTCAACAAATGCAGAGCAACTTCTGGGGTCTGTTCATGGGCCTCAGTCCGCACAGAAAGATGCAGCTTGGGAGAGTTAAGAGGCTTTGGTTACTCAGCCTGGATTTTGATTCCAAACCATTTTATGAGGAGAAGAAACAATAACACAAAACCAAAAAACAAACAAAAAATAAATAAAATTTTATGAGGAGGATAAGTAAAAAGTTAGGTGTGTGAAGGCAAGAAATGAGCTAATTATGGAGGTATCAGTTACAGAGAAAGGTACATATGAAGCCTGAGTGTGCTATGTTTTCCTGCTCCACCTCTCCTTCCATGCTTTTACATATTTTTCTTTTTTAACATCTAAAATTGTTGGGCAGTCCAAAGTGAACGAAATGTAATTTAGTTGGTAATTTCTTATTTAGGTTGCTAAATTATTTTTCTGATTCTTTCATGCATCCTCATTTCTTACTATGAGAGTTAATGACTTAAAAAGGAAGGAATTCATCTTTTTTTCCTACATAGTTTGTATCCCATGAGAAAAACCTGTCTCCAGATTTTGTATCTATATGTTGCAAAACCAGATGATAGCACAACATTTTCCTAACCAGCAAGGGACATGTGTGCTATAGTAAAGAAAGGACTGCTCATTGCAAATAATTATATTAAAAAATAACATTAAATAAAAAATAAAAATTAAAAAAAGAATGATAGCAGAAAAAATGAGCACCAAAGATAGAAAACTTCAACTGGGCAAGTTCATGGGTTGACGTCAAATACAAGAGGAAGAGGTACAAACACTCAGGACAGCTTCAAGATTTACCCACTAACTCCTAGTCATCCCTTGAATACAATCTCAAGAACACTGTGTGGATGAACTTTTGAGACTGAGAATGCCCAAAATCATCATCCTTAATTCACCCAGGAAATCTCAAACCCAACTAAAGACACGTATAGTATTTCTATACTGTAAGGGCACAGTAACCAAAATACCATGGTACTGGTACAAAAACAGACACATAGACCAATGGAAAAGAATAGAGAACCCAGAAATAATGCCACACACCGAAAAACCTGATTTTTTACAAAGTCGGCAAAAATAAACGATGGGAAAAAGAATTTTTGGTCAATAAATGGTGCCGGGATAGCTGGCTAGATACATGCAGAAGAATAAAACTGGATCCCTACCTATCACCATATAGGTGATAACTCAAGATTGATTAAATATTTAAATGATAAACAACCCCATCAAAAAGTGGGCAAAGGATATGAACAGACACTGCTCAAAAGAAGGCATTTATGCAGCCAACAGACACATGAAAAAATGCTCATCATCACTGGCCATCAGAGAAATGCAAATCAAAACCACAATGAGATACTATCTCACACCAGTTAGAATGACGATCATTAAAAAGTCAGGAAACAACAGGTGCTGGAGAGGATGTGGAGAAATAGGAACACTTTTACACTGTTGATGGGACTGTAAACTAGTTCAACCATTGTGGAAAACAGTGTGGTGATTCCTCAAGGATCTAGAACTAGAAATACCATTTGACCCAGCCATCCCATTACTGGGGATATACCCAAAGGATTATAAATCATGCTGCTATAAAGACACATGCACACGTATGTTTATTGTGGCACTATTCACAATAGCAAAGACTTGGAACCAACCCAAATGCCCATCAGTGACAGACTGGATTAAGAAAATGTGGCATATATACACCATGGAATACTATGCGGCCATAAAAAAGGATGAGTTCGTGTCCTTTGTAGGGACATGGATGCAGCTGGAAACCATCATTCTCAGCAAACTATCGCAAGAACAGAAAACCAAACACCGCATGTTCTCACTCATAGGTGGGAACTGAACAATGAGATCACTTGGACACAGGAAGGGGAACATCACACACTGGGGCCTATTGTGGGGAGGGGGGAGGGGGGAGGGATAGCATTAGGAGATATACCTAATGTAAATGATGAGTTAATGGGTGCAGCACACCAACATGGCACATGTATACATATGTAACAAACCTACACGTTGTGCACATGTACCCTAGAACTTAAAGCATTAAAAAAAAAAAAAAAAAAAAGTAAGACTTTGGCCAGGTGTGGTGGCCCACGCGTGTCTTCCCAGCACTTTGGGAGGCCAACGTGAGCTGATCACTTCAGACCAGGAATTTGAGACCAGCCTGGCTAACATGGTGAAACCCCATCTCTATTAAAAATATAAAAATTAGCCAGGCATGGTGGCGCATGCCTGTAGTCCCAGCTACTCAGGAGGCTGAGGCAGGATAATTGCTTGAACCTGAGAGGCAGAGGTTGCAGTGAGTGGAGATCATGCCACTGCACTCCAGCGTGGAAAACAGAGCAAGACTCTGTCTCAAAAAACAAACCAACAAAAAATACGAAAATAAGCCACGGATGGTGGCATGAACCTCTAGTTTCAGCTACTTGAGAGACTGAGGCATGAGTATCACTTGAACCCGGGATGCGGAAACTTCAGTGAGCTGAGATTGCATCACTGCACTTTAGCTTGGGAGACAGAACTTTAGCCTGGGCGACAGAGTGAGACTGTCTCAAAAACAAAATAAAATAAAACAGGTGGGAACAATAGACACTGGGGAATACAAGAGCAGGGAGAGAAGAAGTGGGGCAAGGGTTGAAAAACTATGAAACCCCGTCTCTACTCAAAATACACACACACACACACACACACACAAATTAGCCAGGCATGGTGGTGTGTGCCTGTAATCCCACCAGGCATTTGGATTAGTAGAGTGAGGCTGGGCAATAATTTAGGGTACAATCCTCTTCTAAGTATCTGATTATCCATTAGTAATACATATGCATTAAAAATAATATTTTATAAGTTCAGGTTCTGACAGCCCATTCACTTTAAACATAATGAAATTATGGAATAAATATAAAGAGAGAAAAACAAACAAACAAAAAGATAGATGGCCTTACATAGAAAATGTAATCTCTTTGGAACATAAAGGAAATATAAATGCAAAATGGCAGTCAGGTTCTAACCATCCACCCTCTCTGCTCCAGGACTGGAAGTAGGCAGTGGTGGCTGTGAGTTCACCTTTTCTACCAAAAAAGGAACTAAAAGTGTTTTATGTAAGACCAGGGCCAAAATCCAGGCTTAGAGCTTAAATCAGGAGTCATGTTGAGACTCTGCCTTCATAGACATCAACTTCTGACAAGAGCTCTCCTGAGCTGCTAGTTGAATTGCTGATGGGATCTGTGCTGTCATCAGTATCACTTCCAGGAACGCTGGAACATTTTGTTTCTGGACTGAGTTTCAGGTTGGAGACAGGAATAGTTAATGGAAAAATTTCCAGACTATGAGAAGTAAAGATAAAAGAAGAGAGAGAGGGAGTAAAGAACCAAAACCAAAATATTTCATTTACAATGAGCTAAGACCAGCATTCCAAAGTATATAGATAAAATGAATGCTAAGAAAGATGGCAGGCCAGTGCAATGGCTCACGCCTGTAACCCCAACACTCTGGGTGGCCAAGATGGGAGGATTGCTTGAGCCCAGGAGTTCAAGATCAGCCTGGGCAACATAGCGAGACCTCGTCTCTATAAAATAAAGTTAAAAAAAAAAGATGACAAACACAATCAATAATTAGAACATAAATTTACATCAGATAGTATTGATTTCATAAAAACATTTGACAAAGTCTTTAAAATTGGTGTGTTTAAGATGCTCATAAGTAAATAAAGACATAGTATCCATAAATATATTAAATTATAAGATACAAACAAAGATCTAAAATAAAAATGGATGAGAAAAAGAAACAATTAGAAATCTTTTTTTTTTGGCATGGTCTCACTCTGTCACCCAGGCTGGAGTGCAGTGACACAATCACAGCTCACTGCTGTCTTGACATCCCTTGCTCAAGTGATCCTCCCACCTCAGCCTCCTGAGTAGCTGGGATTACTATTGTGTGCCACCACGCCTGACTAATTTTTGTATTTTTTTTTGTAGAAACAGGATTTTGCCAAGTTGCCCAGGCTGGTCTTGAACTCCTGGGCTCTAGTGTCACTCCCACCTCGGCCTTACAAAGTGGTGTGATTACAGGTATTAGTCACTGCACCTGGCCAATTAGAACTCTCAAAAGTAAAAATATAGTCACTTAAACTGAAAACAAAAAAATAGATGGGTTGGATTTTAAACGGAGCACAGAGAACAAGTCAGGGAATGAAATGGAGTGCTGAAGAATTAACCTAGTATAACTCACATAGAGTCAAAGAGGTAAAATATAAAAGAGTAGGTAGGATACAAAGGACAGATAATAAACTCTAAATTGCATTTAATAGAAATTCCATAAAAGAGATTGGAGGGGAGAGTGGAGAAACAATATTTGAAGATTTTTTTTTTTTTTTTTTTGAGACAGTCTCGCTCAGTTGCCAGGCTGGAGTGCAATGGCGCAATCTCAGCTCACTGCAACCTCCGCCTCCAGGTTTCAAGCAATTCTCCCACCTCAGTCTCCCAAGTAGGTGAGAGTACAGGCACTTGCCATTACGCCCAGCTAATTTTTGTATTTTAGTAGAGAAGGGGTTTCACCATGTTGGTCAGGCTGGTCTTGAACTCCTGACCTCAGGTGATCCGCCCACCTCAGCCTCCCAAAGTGCTGGGATTACAGGCGTGAGCCACCGTGCCTGGCTATTTGAAGATCTTATAGTTGAACACTTTTTAATTTGCAAAAAGACATTAGGAATTTGTTTCCTATACAGTCATTCATTCATTCAGTGAACAAACGCTTAATGAAAACTTACGTTTTACACTCCAGAGTAGAAAGAAGGGATACACAATGAATGTAGTATAATCCTTGCCTTTGCTTGAGGGGCTCACAATCAGTAGGAGGGGTGGACTTGTTTAATTACAATGTAATGTAAAATTTCTATGATAAAACAGTGTATTACAGAATTAAGAAGGAGGAAGAATACTCCTGGGAGGACTAACAAAAGCTCCACGGAGGAGATGAGATGATACTCAAGCTGAATCTTTAGGTCGAGGGTTCCCTAGAGCATTGAGTCAATAAAGGCATGAAAGAGCCTGGCACATTTGGTGGCTGCTGAGTGGTTCTGGGTAGTTCTAGCTTCTAGAATATATGGAAGAAGAGTCCTTAAGGCATACGTTAAGGGAACTGCTGGGAAAATCTGAATCACCTTTTAAATATAAAAACATTTATTGGCCAGGTGCAGTGGCTCACACCTGTAATCCCAGCACTTTGGGAGGTCCAGGCGGGCAGATCATGATGTCAGGAATTCGAGACCAGCCTGACCAACATAGTGAAACCCCGTCTCTACTAAAAATACAAACATTAGCTGGGCATGGTGGTGTGCATCTGTAATCCCAGCTACTCAGGAGGCTGAGGCGGGAGAATCACTTGATCCTGGGAGGCGGAGGTTGCAGTGAGCTGAGATCATGCCACTGCACTCCAGCCTGGGTGACAGAGCGATACTCCATCTCAAAAAACAAACAAACAAACAAACAAAAAAACACTTATTAAAACTTTACTGAAGTGTAATAAGTAAATGCATAGAATGGAGAGATATACCACATTCATAAATATAACTCAGGATTGTAAAGGTGGGATTTTCTCCAAAATAAATTCAATGCAACGCCACTCAGTATCAAAATACTTTTTAAAAATGAAAGATTTTTAAAAAATGAAACTGGACTCATTACGTATTTACATAAAAGAACTAAGCACAGCCAAGATAATTTTGAAAAGCACAGGTATGTATCCTACCAGCTAATAATATTTTTTGTAGAAAGTTTTAACAATTAAAATATGGAAGTATTTCTTTCTTAAATATTGAGAAGCATTCACGGTGATCACATATTTATGGCAAGGTGTAGAGAAAAATGAGAAATTTGAATTTCAGGGCACTCACTGTGGCATTAGTATACCAGATGACCTGGTGTGGGGGCAAGATTCAGAGTTGGGGTGACCTGCTGGCTGCTTCAAAAGGTGTGATACTAGATACTAAAAATGGAAGATGAGGGTAGTGAGGGTGGAAAAAGATCTCATTAGATAACTATTTGGGAAAGAGAATCAACAGATCTTGAAGTTTAGCTTTGTTGGAGGTGGGTGGGTTGGGCAGGTGACAAGGGAAGAAGAGTCGAGGAGAACTTCAAAGTATCAGCCTGGGCTCGTGGGTAGATGGTGAGCCTTGAGGATCTCTTGGACAGACAGCCAAGTTTCTGTAAAAGAGGTATGGAACTTGGGAGAGTTTGAGGCAGAAGTCTCAGGGAATAGTGCAAGTCATGAAAATAAATAAATCCCCCCAGACAGATTCATCAGGTAGAATAGGAAAATGATGAGTGGACGAACAGTGCTTCCTCAAGGAGATGATGCCTGTCTCTGGGCCTTGAAGGATGGGGGATGGGCAGGAGCAGCCCAGGTTAGAGGGAAGAGGCAGAAGTTAAGAGCCAACAGAGGGCGCTGATGCTGGAGAGGATCACACACGAGGTGGGGAAGCAAGAGGAACCTCCCAGGTGGTGAGAAGAGAGAAAGGGGCAAAGAAGGAAGAAAACCTTTTCATTTTTCTACGCACACATGCAAAATGACAGACTCTTACCTTTGCATTGACCACAAGTCGGATGGCATCTCTCACAGGTCTGTGTGCTTTGCTCTACATAGTAATGGTCTGGGCAGGAGGGACGACACTCTCCTTTGGAGCGGAGCAGAAAGAAAAATCTCTCGCAAGACAGGCAGTCTGTGGGCCGTGGGCCCCGGCACCCCTTGCAGATCCTGTGGCACCTCTCACACTGGCCGGTGGAGTTGTCTGCGTAATACCTGAAACCGAGGGAGAAGAAACGATGGAATACTAAGCTTTGCTCCTAAATTGGGTGCAGTGGAAAAACGTGGTAGTCAGGTTTCATTTACAAGCTGGGTGACTTTAGCCTCTTTACCTTACTCATTAGATTCATTGCTAATAACACTAATGAATCCAATGATTCCCAGTGTTCTTACCTGTAAATTGGGCCAATCCCTCCCCCATTATTTGTGAAAGTTAAACTGGGTAACTAACACATATGAAAAGACCTAGTGCTTATCACACCTAGTAGCATCTCCATTGTTGCTAGCTACCATTGCCTTTTTCTACCATGTGCCTCTCCAAATTCATGCTTTACGTTGTGGTTAATGGCTGGCATCAGAGAATGGAAGGATTAAAAAAAATTTTTTTTTTTTTAAATTGTGATGAGTGTCTCACTATGTTGGCCTGGCCATTCAGAGGTACATTTAAAAAATCCATCCAGGCTGGGTGCAGTGGCTCACACCTGTAATTATAGCACTTTGGGAGGCCAACATGGTTGGATCACTTGAGGTTAGAAGTTTGAGACCAGCCTGGCCAACATGGTGAAACCCTGTCTCTACTAAAAATACAAAAATTATCCAGATGTGGTAGCATGTGCCTGTAATCCCCGCTACTTGGGAGGTTGATGCAGGAGAATCATTTGAACCTGGGCGGTGGAGAGTGCAGTGAGCTGAGATCATGCCACTGCACTCCAGCCTAGGCGATAATGTGAGACTCCATCTCAAAAAAAGAGATCCATCTGGCCAGGCACAGTGGCTCACACCTGTAATCCCAGCACTTTGGGAGGCCAAGATGAGAGGATGGCTTGAGGTTAGGAGTTCGAGACCAGCCTGGTCAATCAACATGGTGAAACCTCATCTCTACTACAAATACAAACAAACAAACAAAAATAGCCAGATGCGGTGTGTAGTCCCAGCTACTTGGGTGGCTGATGCATGAGAATCGTTTGAACACAGGAGAGTGAGCTGAGAGCACACCACTGCACTCTAGTCTGGGTGACAAAGTGAGACTGTCATAAATAAAATAAAAGATAACATAAATAAAATAAACATACCTCTGAATTATTCTTCTAATTTGTCAACTAAAAAACAGATTTTGAAATAGGAGGTGACAAGTGTGATATTGACATTTACATAACAGATATAACCTTGTTTGAAAAGATTTTTGGAGGTTAAATATAATAACTATAACCACTATTCATTACACTTCTACTAATATGCCTGATAGTATTCCAGGGACTTCATAAACATTATTTCACCTTGTTGAACCTGCAAATGAGACCCTAGAGTGTGGAAGTTACCACTTGCCCTCGGGAACAAGACTAGTTTTAAATCCCAGCCATACCACTTACAAGCTGTGTGACCTTGGGCCAGTCACTCAACATCTCTGTGCCTCAGGTTTCTCATCTATAAGATGGGGCTAATGTTAGTACCTACAATTAAACATGTGATTACTGAGAAAGGGATGGGGACCATGATGGGCACTTTATAAATAATTAATGTACATTAGTGATAATTATAAATTGTGTGATTTATCCTCATAGCAAATCTTATGATTTAGGTATTACTATCCTTATTTTACAGAAGCAAACATTGAGGCTGAGAGAATTTAGACAACTTGCTTAAAGTCAGTTAGTGAAGTGGGACAATATGATTTGAGCTTAACTGTTAAACGCTGTAACAAAATAGTTCATTAATTGAAGGTAAACAAAGGTTTGCAAGCAAGACAGAAGAGGGTAACAAAATTCTTGCTAAGGATGAGCTTCTAAAGGTCATCTGATTCATCTCTGTATCTCTAGACATCAGCACCACTAAACCTATCCTAGAAACCTCAAGGTTCATCTTTGTTTTCTCTGGTGCAACACTACAGGTCCCAATAGGCTTTTTTTTGTAGACTGATTCAGCTCCGTGAACTTGCTGAGAACTCACACCATGCCTAGGTTATGCTGAGCCTTGCTCTATTTAGCCACCCGTCACTGATCTGAGGGAGCACATTGGAACCTCAGTGGCCCGGCTTGTGGTAACTGGAGACCTGCTTCACTTTCTGCAGTTATGTGAAGAACAATGACTACTATGTGTCAATCTGGAAGACTGAGGTATCTGAGAGACAAAGCGATGATGAGCTGAATGGCTGACAAAGCCCACATAAGACTCAAGAAAAGAAACCATCAGAGAAAAGTGAAATCTACACAGAGCAGAGGGAATACACAGGATTAGAGTCAGAAGATTGAATTTTTACTCCTGGCTCCGCCATGTATTAGTAGCTCCATGACTTTAGGCAAGTCACTTAACCCCTCTGAGCCTCAGTTTCTTCATCTGTAAAATGGAGAGACTAATAGCAACCTCATGAGATTGTTGTAGAATCAAATCATAATGTAAAGATACATTGTGAGTGGAAATACTTTGTAACTCTTAAGCAGCATACGAAAGTTTTTTTTACCTAATGTTTTTATTGTAGATTGTTATAAAGATGAAAATCATCAGTAGGAACTGTGGGAAAGAAAGCTTATCAATTTTAAGTAGGTTTTTTAAATTATCAAGGAGGAATGCTAAAAGAGACAACAAAGAGTTTATTGGACCAGATTAAAAGAGTACAACACCACTGCTTGCTTTGAGGACTCATCAGTGTCCCAGCTTCGAAGAGTATAAGCACAAGCAGTAACCTAGGCTTTAAAGAAACTTCTCTGAGTTAAACACCAAAATAATTATGTGGGTTGGGATAGGGTGCAGAGAAGTATATATCTACTTTTCCAAGGCAGAGATTTAACATACGAGGCTTATGCCAAGCATGTGGAACACTGATTTTACTAAAGGAAGAGTTCTCCTCTTATACCTCATGAATATTCAATTTCTTCTTTATTAAAGGGATCTATGGCAACCTGTGCCTCCCTTCACCAGCCCTGGGTTCACACACGGTGAAACAACTGTCTTCTTAATTCCATGGTCTGCATTCTACCTAGATGACAGGATGATTAAGTACCCTTTTTGTGCTTGAGAGTATTCACTGACTTGATTTGAGCAAGATGGGCTCCAGATCTTTTCAGACACTTACTAGGGTGATGCAGAAGGGCTAAGCCAGGTGGCCTCATCCCTGGTTGTTTTTTTTTGTTTGTTTGTTTTTTTGACAGAGTCTTCTTCTCTTGCCCAGGCTGGAGTGCAGTGGTACGATCTTGGCTCACTGAAACCTTTGCCTCCAGGTTTAAGCAATTCTCATGCCTCAGATTCCCAAGTAGCTGGGATCACAGGCGCCTGCCAACACACCCTGCTAATTTTTGTATTGTTAGTAGAGACAGGGTCTCATCATGTTGGCAAGGCTGGTCTTGAACTCCTGGCCTCAAGTGATCTGCCCACCTCAGCCCCGGAAAGTGCTGGAATTACAGGCATGAGCCACCATGCCTGTCCATTCATCTCTGTTCTTAATCTGGCAGGGCCCTTTCTTCCTTGATCTATATGGCTGGTATTTTTCTTTCTGAGACAGAGTCTTGCTCTGTCACCCAGGCTTGAGTGCAGTGGTATGATCTTGGCTCACTGCAACCTCCTCCTCCTGGGTTCAAGCAATTCTCCTGCCTCAGCCACCCAAGTAGCTGGGATTACAGGCACATGCCACCATGCCTGGCTAGTTTTTGTATTTCTAGTAGAGATGGGGTTTCACCCTCTTGGCCAGGCTGGTCTTGAACTCCTAACCTTGTGATCTGCCCACCTTGGCCTCCCAAAGTGCTGGGATTATAGGCATGAGCCACCATGCCCGGCCTGGCTGGTGTTTTTCAAGAGCTGCTAATGTGTGGCTCTGTGCTGAGTGTTGTAGAAGCAGATGTAAGACATAAGAAGTGTTTTTCTTCCATGAGTTTATGATTTTCTTGGGAAGAGGCATATAAAAATAAGAATAAACTCTTAAAGTCAGTGATACGGTTTGGCTCTGTGTCCAAATCTCAGCTTGAATTGTACTCCCATAATTCCCACGTGTTGTGGGAGGGACCCAGTGGGAGATGGCTGGATTGTGGGGGCGGTTTCCCTCATGCTGTTATTGTGGTTGTGAATAAGTCTTACGAGATCTGATGGTTTGATAAGGAGAAACCAGTTTCACCTGGCTCTCATTCTCTCCCTTTGCCTGCTGCTATCCACATAAGATGTGACTTGCCTTCCGCCATGATTGTGAGGCCTCCCCATCCACGTGGACTGTAAGTTGAATTAAACCTCTTCCGTTTGTAAATTGCCTGGTCTTGGGTATGTCTTTATCAGCCGCGTGAAAACAAACTAACATGGTCAGTCTTTCTCTTACTCATCTTATTTATATATAAAAAGTGCTCGTCATGAGATGTGTTAAATAAATACGTGAATGAATGAGATAAATCAAAATGCAAGGCAGCATATAGCACTAAAATGAATGAAACAAGCAGTAACTGCTATAGGACTGAAGAGACGTGTCAATTTGGGTGAAAGCATTTGAGGAAGGTCTAAGGTTACAGCCCTTGATTTGGGTCTGGAAACTCCCAGTGCTCTAGGTTATTGATTGGGTAGAAAGAGTCAGCAACAGGCCTATCATCAATCTTTTACTCTTTACTGGGGATGCCTGGGGGAAAAAAAGGATATCCTGGCAATCAGACCTTTGGATAACACGGACAGTTCTTCCTGGCAGAAAAATAATAGAGTTCTTATCCGTGAAATGCTTTTAGAGGGATACATCAAGTGTGTGTCTAGGTTGTTTATGATAACAAGACCTGTAATTTGTGGATTTATGGGGGACATGACAGGCTGGGGAATTAATGGGGAATAAATGGAGATGTTAATGGAGCTATTTCCTTTGTAAATCAATGTTCTGCATGCACTGCTCTCCTCACATAAGCAGGTTGGGAGAACATGAGACCCTGAATTTTAAATCTGAATCAGAACAAGTCCTGAAGCCGAAGAAATAGAACCTCCATTAATGGTCTTGGGCTTCTCTGAGGAAAGGATGCTTTGCTTCTGCCTTGTGATTACTGAGACCCTTTGCCAAATTGTTTTAATTTTTAGAAACAAGGTCTTGCTCTGTCACTGAGACTGGAGTGCCGTGGGGCAATCATAGCTTACTGCAGCCTCCAACTCCTGGGCTCAAGTGATCATGCCCCGCCTCAGCTTCCATAGAAGCTGGGACTATAGCCTCATGGCACCACGCCCAGCTAATCTTATCTTAATATTTTACAGACGGGGTCTCACCGTGTTGCCCAGGCTGGTTCAAACTCCTTGCCTTCAGTGATCCTCCAGCCTCAACCTCCCATGTCGTTGGGATTACAGACATGAGCCACAGTGCCCAGCTGCCCATATGCTTTGAATCATCAGTGAGGACTGTTGCTGAGGAAGATCAATTGCTCAGGTGAGTCTGGCTTGACAATCTGACCCTTTGTGATAACTCACTGGATCACAAGAGTAACAGCCTCTCCTGTTTCTCTTCTGTTATTGTGAATTGGTTCATCTTTGCTCCTTACTAGCACTGAGACTTCAACCTTGTTTTATAAGTGTTCTGAATCTTAGTTTCCTCCTTTGTAAAATGGGTTGATATCTGGTGTGACCGTGGAATTACATGGGGCGAGGGGGAAACGTATTGAGCACTTACCCTTCCCTGCACTGGAGCAGGCACTCTTTTCCCAGCTGGAACCAGCCTGGTCGGCAGGAGTGGCACTGCCTGCTGTGTCTCCCTTCACATGTCCCGCAAGAGCTGTGGCAGCGGGCACACTGGTGGCTGTCCTCATCGGCATAATAGCCCTCTGGGCAGTCCTTCACACAGGTTGTGTCTGTCATGGGAGGAAAAATGTCTCTTTGGACATTGAGCATGACACATGTCTCCCCTGTGTCCTCCCTCCTGTGCACCATGGTGGGAGGGAGGAGAGGGCTGCAGGAAGCATGGGACGATGTCCCTGTGAGCTGATGGATATGTTTGGGAACTAAGATGAGTGTCCAAGAAACAGAATCACCCTAAGACCATGAGGAATACAAGGAAAACAGAAGTCAGTGATGTGGTTTTGCTCTGTGTCCCACCCATATCTCATCAGTGATCCTATCTCATCTCATCAGAGATCCAAATCTCATCTGTGTCCCACCCAAATCTCTCAGCGGATTAGCCGAGGTGGGTAGAACAGAAACTATGGTCCGGCGACTGTGGATGTTGGCAATGACTCATAGTCCCGCTCCTGTATCTGGTTAACTAGGGGGAAGCCCTAGCTTCCTAAAGAAAAAACATCTCTGTATTAGTCTCTTATTGCTGTTCTTACCAAGTATCCCCAACTTGGGGACTTGAAACAATAATTTATTATCTTACTGTTCTGGAGGTCAGAAGTCCAAAATAGATCCACAGGGCTCTGTTCCTTTTAGAGGCTCTAGGAGGGAATCTGTTTCCTTTCCTTTTCCACCTGCTAAAGTTCACCTGCATGCCTTGGCTCATGGCCCCTTCCTCCGTCTTCAAAGGCAGCAGTGCAGTAGCTTCTCTCTGTCCCTCTGCTTCTGATCACATCACCTTCTACTACTGACTCTGATCCCCTGGCATCTCTCTTATCAGACCCTTGTGATGGCATTGGGTCTACGTGGATAATGCAGGATAATCTCTCTATGCTGAGACCCTTAATTAAATCACAGCCCCAAAGTCCCTTTTACCAAATAGAGTAATACGTTTACAGGATCTGGGGATTAGGATGTGACATCTTCAGGGGGGCCATTATTCAGTCTAGCCTAATGTCCAAAAAAAGTATCTAATTTATAAATAGCCTGACCTTGGTGGTGTGGTGGGGTGGGACAGGGTGGAGAGAATGTGAGGAGACCAGGCTGAGCAAATCTGCACCCACCCCCAGGGGGACTACACCTCTGTGTCCTACACCAGCGCTGAAGCCTCAGCTCTAGTCTAATCTGCAGCCTCGGATGAGGGGAAGGCCACTTTGTGGAGGCAAGGTGTCTTCTCTGTATGAAGGCATCTGAGATGATTACTGGTGGCGCTCTAGATCGGAGGTAAGTAGAAAAGAAGGTTTTGGGAATCTTCCCATGGGATTACGTGGAAGACGTGCCTGGAGGGAATGCTTTTATGAAGTAGCAGCTGCTGGGAAGGAGAGTCACAGAGATTTGTGGGCCAGGAGCTAAGGTAGATGGATAGAGAAGAATGGTTTCTCTGAGTGTTTTCTATTGTGAAGGGATCAGGAATGGTATTGAGAATACCCTCCCTGTGTCTTAGCAGGGGGATGGTGTCCTCCCTCAATATGAAGAGGAAAAACTTGCCGCACATGTCTTTAAAACATTTTTCTTTTATTAATGTTTAAACTTTTAAAATTTAAAATTTTTATTTTTATTTTCCATTTTTTTGTAGAGATGAAGTCTCACTATGTTGCGTAGACTGGCCTTGAACTCCTGGACTCAAGCAATCCTCCTGCCTTGACCTCCCAAAGTGCTGGGATTACAGGCGTGAGCCACTGCGCCCGGCCCACCACAGGTATCTATTTGGAGTTTCATGCTTCTCAGGTCTACTCTCCTGGTGGGGGAGAAAAGTGCTCATACTTCCCGGTCTTCACCATATTCATGTCTCCCTTCTGTCTCCTATGGCTTCTTTTTTAGTTCAGTTTTGTTTCATTTTCGTTCTCCTATGCTTGTTTTAAGCCTAGTCACAGTATCCCTGGAAACCTGAGGATATTACTTCATATTAGCAATAACCTTCAAACTGGATCTGTGGGACGTGGCCTATGTTGACCTGTGCCACATTTTCCTCAAGATTTATTAATCAACCATGCTAAATGGACGGGAAATTTTGACGAGGAGGTGAATATCTACATGTTCTTAAAGTGTAACTCCACAGGCTATTTATTAGTTACAAGGGAATAAATAGTAATTATGCAGTAGAGAAACTGAACATCTTGGCCAGGCGATCAACATTAATATCACCGAGGAGAGGCAGGTGGAGATCACGTTCCTCCAGATGTGACTCTTGGAAGATACAACATTACTTCTGAAGTATGCTGGCCGAGCACGCACACTGCAACTCATCACGGACAACTTCACACTCGCCCAAAAGGAAAAATGAAGACTGTATTTTTCTTTTCTCTTTTCTTTTTTTTTTTTTTGAGATGGAGTCTTGCTTTGTCACCCAGGCTGGAGTGTAGTGGCGTGATCTCGGCTCACTGCAACCTCTGCCTCCCGGGTTCAAGCGATTCTCCTGCCTTAGCCTCCTGAGTAGCTGGGACTACAGGTGCCCGCCACCACGCCCGGCTAAATTTTGTATTTTTAGTAGAGACAGGGTTTCACCATGTTGGTCAGGCTGGTCTTGAACTCCTGACCTCATGATCTGCCTGCCTCGGCCTCCCAAAGTGCTGGGATTACAGGCGTGAGCCACTGCACCTGGCCAAGACTGTATTTTTCTAAAGCATTGATACTGTAAAAGAAAAAGAAAGTCTGTGGAAACATTTCAGATTTAAGGAGGCTAAAGGGACATGGAAGGGCCTGGCATAGTGGTTCATGCCTGTAATCACAGCACTTTGGGAGGTTGAGGCAGGAGAATAGCTAGAGCACAAGAATTTGAGACCAGCTTGGGGAACACAGTGAGACCCTTGTCTCTAAAAGGAAAAAAAAAAAAAAAATTAGCTGCACATGACATGGAAGGACCAGACATGGTGGCTCATGTCTGTGATCCCATCCCACCTACTTGGGAGACTGAGGCAGGAGGATCTCTTTTTTTTTTTTTTTTTTTTTGAGACGGAGTCTTGCTCTGTCGCCTAGGCTGAGTGCAGTGGTGCAATCTTGGCTCAGTGCAAGCTCTGCCTCCCAGGTTCACACCATTCTCCTGCCTCAGCCTCCCGAGTGGCTGGGACTACCACACCCAGCTAAATTTTTTGTATTTTTTTTAGTAGAGACGGGGTTTCACTGTGTTACCCAGGATGGTCATGATCTCATGACCTCGTGATCTGCCCGCCTTGGCCTCCCAAAGTGCAGGAGGATCTCTTGAGCCCAGGAGTTCAAGGCTGCAGTGAGCCATGATCATGCCACTGCACTCCAGCAGCCTGGGTACTGCACCTGGCCACCTTGTCTCTTAAAACAAAAAACAAAAACAAACAAACAAAAATGTGGCTGGGCGTGGTGGCTCACACCTGTAATCCCAGCACTTTGGGAGGCTGAGGAGCGCAGACTGCTTGAGGCCAGGAGTTCAAGACCAGTCTGGCCAACGTGGTGAAGCCCCATCTCTACCAAAAACACAGGAAAAAAAAAAAAACTAGCCAGGCGCGGTGGTGCCCACTTGTGATCCCAGCTACTCAGGAGACTGAGGCATGAGAATTGCTTGAACCCAGGAGTCAGAGGTTGCAGTGAGCCAAGATCATACCACCGCACTCCACTCTGAGCAACAGAGTGAGACTCCTTCCCAACAAACAACAAACAAACAAACAAAACGGGACATGGAAGCTACATGAAACAATGGACTCTAGACTGAATCCTAAAGGGGCACTGAGAAAATTTTAATGTGGATAGTACATTAAAGTATCGTATGAAGGTACAATTTATTAGAGTTGATAACTATCCTGTGGTTATGTAAGAAACTATCACTAATCTGAGGAAATATTTATGGGAAAGGGGCCATGATGTATGCCTTCAAATGGCTTCGAAAAATATATATTGGGAATGATGTACATGTATACATTGAGAGAGTGAGAGAGAGAGAACGAGCGAGAAGGGGAGAAAGCCCACAAACAAATGATAAAGCAAATGGGGTAGAAGATGAGCAATTTGCGAACTGGATGAAGCACATCCGTGTGCTGTTCTTTGTACAGTTCTTACTCTTGCATCTTTTCTGTAGGTTGGAACATTTCCCAAACACAAAGCAAAAAATCAAAAAGAAAGAAGCCAGTATCTACCAGACAAGGCAGTGTGCAAGGCAGTTTCCCAGAGGGAGGGAAACACAAAGCCCTCCTCGGAGGAGAAGTAACTCACTGAGAAGAAGGCTGACCCTGGGGCATGTTTGACACTGGTCCTCCGCCGGCCCCGTGCAGTGGAAGCACTTAGTGTGGCAGGGCTTGCACCTGGGAGCATCCTCATCCCAGTACTCGGAGGGACCACATTTCTTGTTGGCCAGGCAGCTCCCATGAGGGTTCATCCTCAGGCCTTTCTGACAGGTGGTGCAGGTCCCAGACGATGAGCAGGTCAAGCAGGACTTGTGACAATCTGTGGGCATGGAGGGGCAGCAGACAGAGTGAGTGAGAGCCAGGATGGCCGTTGGGGGAATGGGCTTCCCCTGGGAAAGGGTGTTCACATTCCTTCCACATTTCTTCCGGAGATTTCCAGAGCTCTGGGCCGAGGGCGTGGGACCATGAGTTGGGTACAGCCCTTGAGCTCTGGGGTGGACCATTCTTTTGCAAAATGAGAGACAAGTATTATTTTATTTTCTGTTGTATCCAGGGAGTGCCTTCCTGCAACAGCCACCTCAGAAATATTAGTAAGGCTCACTATAATTACCCAAACTGCAACAAAATAATAACAAGCCATTCTGTAACAGCACTGAATTTTCCACCATCACATCTACTGTTATGGTCCTCCAGTCACCTCCGGAGTACCTTGAACTTATCGCCAATACAGCAATTGTTGGAATGTATTTAATTGTCTGTTGACAAATGAAGGTCCCTTTTGCATTTATTTTTGAATACATAGTGCCTATGAGAGAGCCTGGCATGTAACAGGAATCGATAATTATTTGTTAGAAAAAGAAAATGACAATTCTCTTCCACCTCTAAGTTTTCTTTTTCTGTATTTAAATAGAGATGGGGGCTGGGTGCAGTGGCTTACGCCTGTAATCCTGGCACTTTGGGAGGCCAAGATGGGTGGATTGCTTGAGCCCAGGAGTTCGAGACCAGCCTCAGCAACGTGGAAAAACACTGTCTCTAGAAAAAACACAAAAATTAGCCGGGCATGGTGGCGGGCCCCTGTAGTCCCAGCTACTCAGGAGGCTAAGGTGGAAGGATCTCCTGAACCCAGGAGGTCAAGGCTGAAGTGAGCTGTGATCGCACCACTGCACTCCAGCCTGGGTGACAGAGCAAGACCCTGTCTCAGGGAAAAAAAAAAAAAAAAAAGAGATGGGCCTTCACTTTACTGCCTAAGCTGGTCTTGAACTCCTGGCCTCAAGTGATTTTTCTGCCTTGGCCTCCCAAAGGGCTGGGATTACAGGCATGAGCCACTGCACCAGGCCGACCATCTCTGGGATTTAGTAGTTGCTGTTCTCTCTGCCTAGAATTCTCTTCTCCCAGATGCATGCATGGTTTGCTTCCTCCCTTTCTCTATGAAATCTAAGGCATCTCTCAAGTTTTATCTCCATCCTGCCTGTCTTCCTGTCCTGCCCCTCTGCCTTACTTTTGCTCTTGGCTTATGGTCTTTAGTACCTATCTTCCCTAATAGAATGTGAGCTCCATGAGGGCAGGGACTCTGTCTCACTCCCTGCTGTTCCCCAGGCCTGAAAGAGCACACGGCACATTGCGGGCCCTCCTGTAAGCATTCCCTGGGTGGATACGTGCATGGTATTATTATTGCTTATATTATCCTCTCATTTTATCTAAATCAGGAAATTGAGGCTGGAGATGCTAAGTCACTCACGCTAAGTAGTATCAGGAGTTGAGCCCAGGACCTCAGCAACTGCCTCCCTGCTTCTGCCCCAGTGCCTCAGGAAAGGTATGGGACTTTTGGAGGTGTCTGTACTATCTTTTAGGGGATAATCTGCGTGACTGGAATGGATCCAAAGTCCTTGTGTTTCTTAGAGAAGATCCCGCTTACAGATTTTTTTTTTTTTTCTTTTTTTTCCTATAGGTTCCTGCTCCATCACCCAGGCTAGAGTGCAGTGATGTGATCATGGCTTACTGAAACATTGACCTCCCAGGCTAAAGTGATGTCCCCGTCTCAGCCTCTTGAGTAGCTGGGACTACAGGCACACACCACCACACCTGGCTAATTTTTGTATTATTATTTTTGTTTTAGAAATAGGGTCTTGCTATGTTGCCCAGGCTGGTCTCAGATTCCTCCCGCCTTGGCCTCCCAAAGAGATGACAGATGCGAGCCACCGTGCCCAGCTGAGATCGCTCCATTCTAAATGCTTCTCTACATTTCCCTGAATCTTAATTTTCAGATCAGGTTCTTTGTGTTATCTCTCTGGAAAGTCAGGTTGTCACTGTGTTTCTTCCAATACTACATTCCTTCCCATCCCTTTGGTCTGGTAGAAAGTGCAATGGCGGCCGGGTGCGGTGGCTCACACCTGTAATCCCACCACTTTGGGAGGCCGAGGCGGGTGGATCACCTAAGGTCGGGAGTTCGAGACCACCCTGACTAACATGGAGAAACCCCATCTCTACTAAAAATACAAAATTAGCTGGGCGTGGTGGCACATGCCTGTAATTCCAGCTACTCGGGAGGCTGAGGCAGGAGAATCACTTGAACCTGGGAGGCAGAGGTTGCGGTGAGTTGAGATCGTACCATTGCACTCCAGCCTGGGCAACTAGAGTGAAACTCCATCTCAAAAAAAAAAAAAAAGAAAAAGAAAGAAAGTTCAATGGCATTGTAGGGAGATGCCTCAAGTGAGTTTTCAACTCTGTCCTCACCGGGTGCTTACCTTCTCAAAGCATCTATTTGCTTCTCAGAAAAATGGAGAAAATTGCCATTTACCTCATTGGCTCTCAACCCACACTAAGCATCAGAATTACTGGCGGTGGGAGAAGGAATTACAATGTTGGGTGCAGGCATCTGTGGTTGTTAGAGCTGCCCAGGTGATTCTAATGGGTAAGCAGGGGCCTTTCTCAAGGAGATAATTAAATCAGATAAATTAAGAAAACATACTCTGAGACCTGTAAAACTCTCTGTATGGTAAATTACTTTCATTATTCAACACCAGAAAAAAGCCAGAAGTTGAACCTCAGTTCCTGCCCTCGCACAGGCAAGATGGCGCTGAAGGCCTGCGGCTGAGTCTCCCACCTTCCAGAAGCCGTCCCCAGCTCCACAGCCTGCCTCCTACATGAACACCCACCTCTTCTGCCTGCGGGCACAGCCTGGACATCCATGCTTTTTCGCATATGGGCAGGTAGGACATTAACACTAAATAGTGCTTTATATAAAACACACAAAAAGGCATAGCCACATCACAAGGCTGGAGCAGAAAGCCTTCAGGACAGAGACACATCTTCCTGTCCTACCAAAAACCTTCCCCTGAGTATGTCCTAGGGCGTGGGTGTCCCAGGGTTTCTCAGTGGAAGGTCATTCTCAGACTCTCGCGGTTGTTAGGGGAATTGCCTCTGGACATCTATCTTGTGTTTGCTTGGGGGCAACATAGTGGGGGTGAAGGACCGCAGGCTGCCTCATCGGAGTGAATTCTGGGGCTCTAGAAAAGCCCCCTGGCCCACAACATTTCTCTCACTTGCTAGAGAATTCTAGAGTGCATCACTTATTTTATTTTTCTGTTCCTTGATAATGAATAAGAGGCAAATTATTCATGCCGAGCTAAAACATAAGGAGGTATAAATAATAGCAGAGCCTTTCTTGAACATGTAGGGACTGAGTGGGAGTGGAAATGGGGACCTTGGAGCAGGAATTGAAAGATATGAAGAGGAAGGTGGGGAGCTTCCAGGGAGCAAACCATGAAGGGAGGCTGGGTGCGGTGGCACACGCCTGTAATCTCAGCAATTTGGGAGGCCGGGGTGAGGTTAGGCATTCGAGACCAGCCTGGCCAACATAGTGAAACCCTATCTCTACTAAAAATACAAAAATTAGCTGGGTGTGGTGGCGGGTGCCTGTAATCCCAGCTACTCAGGAGGCTGAGGCAGGAGAACCACTTGAACCCGGGAGGTGGAGGCTGCAGTGAGCTGAGATCATGCCAATGCACTCCAGCCTGGGCAACAGAGCGAGACTCCATCTCAAGAACAACAACAACAAAACATGGGCCTAGTGCTGTGGCTCATGCTTGTAATCCCAGCACTTTGGAAGGGCGAGGCAGGAGGATCACTTGAGGTCAGGAGGTTGAGACCAGCCTGGCCAACATGGTGAAACCCTGTCTCTACTAAAAATACAAACATTAGCAGGGTATGATGGCGCATGCCTGTAGTCCTAGTTATTCAGGAGCCTGAGGCGGGCGAATCGCTTGAACCCAGGAGGCAGAGATTGTAGTGAGCCGAGATCGTGCCACCACATTCCAGCCGACAGAGTGAGACTCTGTCTCAAAAAAAAAAAAAAAAATTTCACCCATGAAGGGAGACAAGAGGCACCAAGAAAGTTTTTTTTTGCTTGTGCTATAAACTTTTAATGGCTTAACATTTCAAGAAAAGTCTCGGGTAACTTTTGAAGGCTCCTTCTCTCTGCTGTAAATCTTTATATGAGAACTTTTTTTGACCAGCAGTTCATAGCCACTATTGTGAGGAAGGTCCATGTGATTTGTCACTAATAAAAGTTACCTGTACAAAGCTTATGAGCGATTCATTTAAAAATGATTAACAACCGATTCAAAATATGTCTCCTTGAGTGAGAGGGTAAGAGGGTAAGTGAGAGGATGAGGCAGGCTGGACATGGTGGCTCACACCTGTAATCCCAGCACTTTGGGAGGCCAAGGCAGAGGATTGCTTGAAACCAGGAGTTCAAGACTAGCCTGGGCAACATTCTGAGACCTCGTCTCTATGTTCCCAGCAACTCTGGAGGCTGAAGTGGGAGGATCACTTGAGCCCAGGAGGCAGAGGCTTCAGTGAGCCATGTTTATGCCACTGAACTCGAGCCTGGGAGATAGAGGGAGACCTTGTCTCAAAAAAAAAAAAAAAAAAAAAAATGACAGCTCTGGGGCTGGGGCTGGGGCTGGAACTGCAAACCCCGGAGCCTACTTTCAATCCCAGAAGTCTTTACCTCTGCACTCGTTAGTCTCTTTTTCATAATAGGTTCCTGCTGGACACTCCTCCAAGCACAGCCCATCATAGAGGACCCAGGAACTCTCACGACAGAGCTCGCAGTCGTCGACTTTGGGGCCACTGCACTCCAGACAGTCTTTATGGCAGGGGACACAGTGGCGCGAGTCTGAGTAGAAGCCACGGGGACAGGACTGGTGGCACATATCATCATGCAGGAAGAACTCAGGCATGCACTCTGGGGAAAGGAGGAAGCAGCAAGTTATCCCCGGGGGACAGGAGAAAGGAATCCATTGTCCACAGTGGGCTAGCTCCTCCCTCAGCACTTTGGTTGATTTGACCTGAGAGTACCCTAGCCCTTTCCCCATCCTACCAGGGCAGAGACTTGATGTCTAACAAGCCCTGCCTTGGGAGGAGGAGGCCACACATGGTGACCATATTAGATGGTGCTGGACTTACGCACTGAAATGGTCTGCCCTTTGGAGGTGCAAAAAATTGCAACGCTGCAAAAGACAAGGATGGCTGAGAGGCTGGCGGTATTGTTTGAAAACCCTGAAGAGCATTAACAGATTTAAAAAATTGTATCAGGAACTTCACACTCTGTTCAATACAGAAAGCAGTTTAGGAATGGTTGGATTAGTTAACTTTTCATTCATTGATCAGGTACCACAATGAATAAAGCATTGATCAGTGTGAAGAATACATTGCAGGTTTATTTTATTTGTGTTCATTTTCTTACTTTGGGGGGAATCCTGGAAAACACTTGAGGTCACACCGAGAGAATACTTTGGATAGGACAGCACCAGTTAAATGAGTCTGTCTTATTCTGGAGAGAAAACTGAACAGCTTTTTTGGGGGAGATAATTCCTGAGGGGAAAAAAACAACAAAACCTGTTCATAGCCAGAGCGGTCATCTCAGTCATCATTGCCCGAACTTTTCTTTCTTATCCTTTTTAACAATTGTAGTTTTCTAGCTACCTCTGTGTTTTGTGGCTTACTATCAGTCTATAAGATTTTGTGTTCAAAAAGATGGGAACGGGTGGGCATGGTGGCTGACGCTTGTAATCCCAGCACTTTGGGAGGCCGAGGCTGGTGAATCACCTAATGTCAGGAGTTCAAGACCAGCCCGACCAACATGGAGAAACCGCGTCTCTACTAAATATGCAAAATTAGCCGGGCGTGGTGGCGCATGCCTGTAATCCCAGCTACTCTGGAGGCTGAGGCAGGACAATCACTTAAACACGGGAGGCAGAGATTGCAGTGATCGCAGAGATCGCGCCATTGCACTTCCTTAATCTCATAACAGCAGCCTCTCAGCGGTCGGTCAAGCTAAATCCATTAGCTTATGTCTGACTTGCGAAACTCCATCTCAAGAAAAAAAAAAAAGATGAGAACATTGGGTTCTTCTCTGTATTGCTAGCACCTAGGATAGCACTTGCACACTTGCTGTGTGTGTACATGTGGGTGTGTAAGAAATCATGCAAAAAGGGGCTCTTGCTTGTCTTAGCTTGCAGCATCTGTAATGAAAAGACACTTGAGTGTATCTCACACTCGAGTTTTCTGATGACAGGCACAGAGACATACATTTCAGGAATGGTAGGGACACGGGTTCCCACAGCCCTTTGCCAGCCACCACCAGATAATCGGCCCCCACCTGGTGGCTCAGCAGAGCCTCGCTCTCCCATGGGAAGCTCCCAGGTACCTTTGCATGTTTTCTCATGGATGCAGTCCTGACACATCTCTGGACAATTCTTGCACACCCCCTCCACAGCCACGTGCCTCTCAGGGCAGGTTTCCTGGCACACTCCGTGGTGCAGGACGAGGCCTCCTTCACAAGAATGGCAGTTGGTGGTGTTTCCGTCACACGTTCTGCAAGGAGAGCTACAACGTTCACATACGCCATCTTCTGCGTAAGAGCCCCTGTGGAAGGAAAAGAGAGTGCAACTGGAGAAGCTGCCCTGCTGGAGAAGTGACTCTTTCCTGGGGAAAAGGAATTAGGGCTAAAAACAAAAGGGCTGCTGCTGTTGTCAGCTGAGAAGCATCCACGGGATTTATGAGGAAGTGAAAAAGAACATTCAGAAAAACGTAAGGAAAAGGACAGGCATTATTCTTGTGAAAGGAAAATAAATCTTGGGACCCCAATATTACTAAGCCAAACAGAAAAATCAAGCTGGGAACTGCTTAGGGCAAACCTGCCTCCCACTCTATTCCTTAAAAAGATAGTTACTGGCCGGACGCGGTGGCTCACGCTTGTAATCCCAGCACTTTGGGAGGCCCAGATGGGCAGATCACCTGAGGTCAGGAGTTCAAGACCAGCTTGGCCAACGCATGGCGAAATGCTGTCTCTACAAAAATACAAAAATTAGTCGAACGTGATGGCAGGCACCTGTAATCCCAGCTACTCAGGAGGCTGAGGCAGGGGAATCGCTTGAACCCAGGAGGCAGAAATTGCAGTGAGCTGATATTGCACCACTGCACTCCAGCCTGGGTGACAGAGCGAGACTCCGTCTTAAAAAAAAAAAAAAAAAAAAAAGGTGAATATCAGAAGCTGTCAGGAGACAGCCAGAAGGCAACCTGAGAGGTGATTTTCAAGGAGCCACTTGCTAAAAGTAGTCTCCACACAGATCTGCCTGCGAGTTTGTCCTCCTTTCCGCTCTCTGCATTCATAAAACTGTTTTTCTTAGTGCTTTATTTCACAATTATTTTATTTAAGAAGACTAATACTTGTTTTAGAAAGAAATGGTTGCATATACTAAATTGTTAAATTCAAATTACTTTGTGTTGCAGTCTTTCAGCTCAGATAAATCCATGTCTTGTGAAAGCTGTGTGGTCCAGGACCTTCACCTCCATTTCACAGACACCAAGACAGCGACCGGCAGCACTTAAAGGAAGGCCGTATTTCTTCAACAGAGCTTCAAATCTGTTCACATTTGGTGAATGTGAGTCCACCTTAAGTTTTCTGTTGCTTTTTAAACAGCCACCATAATGATATGTGTTACTGGCATGGTGGCTCATGCCTGGAATCCCAGCACTTTGAAAGGCCAGGTTGGGTGGATCCCCTGAGGTCAGGAGTTCAAGACCAGCCTGGCCCATGTGGTGAAACCCCATCTCTACTAAAAATACAAAAAATTAGCTGGGCTTGGTGACAGATGCCTGTCATTCCAGCTACTTGGGAGGCTGAGGCAGGATAATTGCTTGAACCTGGGAGGTGGAGGTTGCAGTGAGCTGAGATGGCGCCATTGCACTCCAGCCTGAGCCGTAAGAGTGAAACTCCATCTCAAAAACCAAACCAAAACAAAAGATATATGTTACTGTTAAAACCTATTTTTGGCCGGGTGCGGTGGCTTATGCCTGTAATCCCAGTACTTTGGGAGGCCAAGGTGGGTGGATCACAAGGTTAGGAGTTTGAGACCAGCCTGGCCAACATGGTGAAACCTCATCTCTACTAAAGATAGAAAAAAAAAAAAAAAAAAAAGCTGAGTGTGGTGGCATGAGCCTGTAATCCTAATGACTTGGGAGGCTGAGGCAGGAGAATTGCTAGACCCTGGGAGGCAGAGACTGCAGTGAGCAGAGATAGCGCCATTGCACTTCAGCCTGGGTGACAGGGTGAGACTCAGTCTCAAACAAACAAAACAAAACAAACAACTTTTTTTTTTTTTTTCATGAACATATACTATATTTGAAAAAGCAGGGGCCACTAAATGCTAACTTACAAATAGCTCTGAATATCTGGATGCTGTGTCATTGCAGGTTATGTTCCTGTTATAAATCTTATTGCTGTTCTAGGATGGATCACACCCAAAAGGGTGATTTCTCAGAAACAGCAATAAAGCTTCCAAGATAAGCTGGATATTATATGTTCCTCAGATTCTGTGTCTTCTGTTGTTAGTTTTCTTTTTCTTTTTCTGTAAACACAAAGATGAGGGATTCCACTATAATCAGATCACCCTACCCATAGCAGGAGGGCATATGCTTGCAATTCTATAGTCTGCAATATTTCTAGGCCATGCCTGTAGCTTTCCTACTGCTCGAGCAATACAGACTATATTGACTGCTGCATGTCTGCATAGTGTCTCACTGCTCCATGAAAATGCTTCACCCCAGACTTGGAGGTAAAAAATGTTGAGCGGTCGACTAACTGGAGTAAAGCAAAATACACTCTTTCTTCCTTGTTTTAATGCATTGTGAATTCCTGGAACACTCAAAGAACCCAAGAGAGCGTTGAAAAAGGTAATGATTAAATAAATAAGGCAATAATAATGACAACCAGTTCAATCCTACCACTGAGGAAGCAATGACTGACTCTGGTAAGCAGCTCTCTGTCTTTCACCTTCGCTTTGTTGTAACACTTGGCTGAGTTTGCTGCGGGGGAGCTCGGTTGATAGGGGAGGAGGACTGGAAGTTTCCAAACCTGCCTTCTCACCTGGGTTCTCTTACTCTGACCCTTTGCTACCCTTTCTCCACTCTCTGCTTGACAAAATCCTTCCAGAGCTAGTGACCATCAAGCTTTTTCTCAAATACCCAGCTGGGTATGAAGCTGGAAAACATTCTGCTAAGTCAAAAAGTCTGTCACAGAAAAACATGTTTTGTCTTTTTCGTTTTATATGTTTTGTTTTCATTTTCAGAGACAGGGTCTTGCTATGTTGCTCAGGCTGACCTTGAACTCCTGGGCTCAAGCAATTCTCCAGCCTTGGACTCCTGATAGCTGGGACTGGAGGTGTATACCATGGCCACCATGCTTGGCTCAAAGACCACATTTTATACAATGCCATTTATAGGAAATGTCCAAGAATAGCAAATCTATAGGGACAGGCAGTAGATTAGTGGTTGCTAAGGGCTGAGGGAAATGGAAAAAGTAGGAATAACGGCTAAAAGGGTATAGGGTTTCTTTCTAGGTTGATGAAAATGTTCTGAAATTGATTGTGGTAATGGTTGCATAACTCTGTGAATATACTAAAAACCAGTGAATTATACACTTTTGGGGTGAATTGTATGGTATGTGAATTATGTCTCAATACAGTTGTGATTAAAAAAAATATATATAAAAAATAATTATATAAAAAAATTATGTGATTAAAAAATAATGATATAACTATCAGCACTGAGTGATAGTTAAGCACCTGGACTTCAATGCCAGAGAGGTTTGGGTTCAAATTCTGGCCACACCATGTATCTGACATGTAAAATGGATTCTGCTATTCTTTTCCTCATCTGTCAAATGAGGGAAAATAATAGTATGTGAATAAGAGAATTCTTGTGAGAATTAATGGGATCATACATTTAAAGCCCTTAGCACAATACCTGGACATTGCAAGCATTCAAAAAATAGTGATTTAAAATGTTTTCTTTTCCCTTGGAATCTCTTAGCCTTTTGTACATTAAGGCTCTGAGAAGTGTGACGTTGCCTGATGTAAACCTCCCTTACTGGATTGTAAGCATTTTGCAGACCCAGACTTCCTTCAGTGGGTCTTAACTTAGCTTTCCATATCAAGGATCAATATCAATATCAATATCAATATCAATATCAATTGTTGGTAGAAGAATAGACTCCACTGAGCTACATATATACAATACAGTCTATTGATATTGTATCAGTATCAATTTTTACACCTAGTTGGTGCTAAATATGTATCTGTGTTGTTGAGGTGAATATGCTTGGCTTTCTATACTAGATTGGATGCTTTTTGAGAATAAATACCTTATATTTATACTCTATATTTATACTCATTACTTATATTTATACTCTATAGATAGTCTATCTCAGTAATGAAAACAAATAGGTCACTAGGAAATAGTGCCATTTTTGCTTTTTTCCTTTTTTGTTTTTTTTCGAGTCGGAGTTTTGCTCTCGTTGCCCAGGCTGGAGTACAATGGTGTGATCTCAGTTCACCACAACCTCCACCTCCCGGGTTTGAACGAGTCTCCTGCTTCAGCCTCCCGAGTAGCTGGGATTACAGGCATAGGACACCACACCTGGCTAATTTTGTATTTTTAGTAGAGGCGGGGTTTCTCCATGTTGGTCAGGCTGGTCTTGAACTCCTGACCTCAGGTGATCTGCCTGTCTCGGCCTCCCAAAGTTCTGGGATTATAGGTGTGAGCTACCATGCCCAGCCAGGAAACGGGTGTCGTTGTATCAAATTCTTTTACTAAGAGGGCAAAAGAAAATCCTAACTCCTTAAAGTAGACACTGTCAGTTAGTTCCCCAAATTTATTTCCTGCCTTCCTCTCTCCATTCTTCGTGGCTGTCAGAGTCCTGAGTTGTTTGGGTGCTCAGGGGTAAATCTTGTCCAGCCTGAACCACGCCTATATTTCCATTCTTTTGGCCAGAGATTGATTTAGGGAGGTATCAGTGATGCATTCTTGGGACTGAGATTAGCAGGGAAGTCTGAGGAAATTTTCTTTTCTCTCAAGAAAAGGATAAACAAGGGGAGACATCCCCTTTCCTGGCCCTGATCGTGGCTGCATGGGGTGACAGTGTCTGGAGCTGAGACACACAACGTGGGCTCAGCAGCGGCGCCGGTCAGAGAGGACGAGCTAAGGAAGGTACAAGAGCAAAACAGAAAAACCAGACTTTGTGATGACCTTCTTGGCCGCTGAAGTGACCGATACTGGACTTGCAACATTTTTGTTCTGTGAGATAATAAACCCTGTTATGTCTCAGTCATTTTACTTGGCATTTCTGTTGCTTATTGCTGAAAGTTTCTTGCTGTACTCTTCCATTTGCTATTCCTCACTTTCTTCCTAGGTAAATTCTGGAGGTGGGACCATTGGTAGGAAGAGTAAAGCAATTACAAACCAGGGGACCAAGGAAACCGGGAGGAATCAATAACTAACTAACCAAGTATTATTTATTATTTATAATTCATGCCTCACCTATTTAAACCTTTAGAAGAGGTTCACATCACAGCCTTACTTTTGTAATGGAGGAAAAAAGAAAAACCGTGACAACAGTTGATCATTAAGATGGGAAAATAACTTTTTCTTTTTCTTTTTTTAAAGAGACAGGGTCCTGCTGTGTCATCCAGGCTGGAGTGCAGTGGCGCAATCACAGCTCACTGCAATCTCCTGGGCTCAAGGAATCCTCCCGTCTCAGCCTCCCAAGTAGCTGGGACTACAGGCAGCCACTGGCTAAGTTTTTTTTTTTTTTGAGACGGAGTCTTGCTCTGTTGCCCAGGCTGGAGTGCAGTGGCACCATCTTGGCTCACTGCAAGTTCTGCCTCCCAGGTTAACGCCATTCTCCTGCCTCAGCCTCCTGAGTAGCTGGGACTACAGGCGCCCGCCACCATGCCCAGCTAATTTTTTGTATTTTTAGTAGAGACGGGGTTTCACTGTGTTAGCCAGGATGATGTCGATCTCCTGACCTCATGATCCACCCGCTTCGGCCTCCCAGAGTGCTGGGATTACATGCGTGAGCCAGCGCGCCCGGCCCCCCAAAAAGTTTAATTTTTTAAACTTTTTGTAGACAGAGTCTTGCTATGTTGCCTAGGCTGGTTTCAAACTCCTAGCGATCCTTCTGCCTTGGCCTCCCGAAGTGCTGTGATTACAAGTGTGAGCCACCATGCCCAGCCCCTGAACATATTTTTCATAAAAGTAAAAATATACACATAAAATAGTCACAAAGGAGAAGTGGGCATCTGGCCTCATGTAAGTTTTGGCTGCTGCGGCCCATAGCCGTGTCAGACAACAGAGGACATTTATGCGGGTGCTCATAGAGCGGAGAAGAGTTTTTTGGTGAACAAGAAGGAATTGCTCCCAAAGTACCTTAGGAAAGCGACTACAAGCAGGAAGTAAAATTAAAAAGGAAACTTACTCCGGGCACTTGGAGTAGCACCTGCCTTCATGGAGGAAGAGAGGGAGGCCCAGCTGCATCCGGCACTTTTTGCAAAGATCGGCTCCAGAGCAGACGGCACAGGCCTCCGAACAGTTCTCGCAGCTCCTGCTCCTTACGGAAGGCCATGTGCCTTGGGGACAGGAGGAAACACAGGCCTGAGCCAAAAGATATGCACCTAGAAATCCAGGGAAGATAGGAATAGTCATCATGTGTGTTTCTATGCAGAGACATGGCTTTTTTAAGCTTTCCAAAGACCAAAGTATCCAGGCACTTATTTCAGGCTTACCAAAATATTTACTAGTGATGCTAAGTCCTCCAGGATGAGTTACATTTCTAGAAGGCAATTGACAGCAAGAGGCTTTTGCCCTGGTTCTTTCCTTTCCCACGGATATTAGGTAGAGGTCATGACGGGGCTTCCCTTTGCCCAGCTGATCAGTCTTGTTAACACCCTGTCTATGTCTTCCTGGTGTAAGGCAGCTGTACATGCGCAGCTTGATAGAATCTATTAATACTCTGCTTCCCCAAAGGTCATCTTGTTAGGACACTAACATAGTTGCAACTGTTTCTTTTTTGAGAAGGAGTCTTGCTCTGTCTCCCAGGCTTGAGTGCACTGGTGCGACCTTGGCTCACTGCAAACTCCGCCCCCTGGGTTCAAGCGATTCTTCTACTTCAGCCTCCCGAGCAGCTGGGACTACAGGCGTGCACCACCACACCTGGCTAATTTTTGTATTTTTAGTAGAGACGGGGTTTCACCATGTTGGACAGGCAGGACTCGAACTCCTGACCTCAGGTAATCTGCCTGCCTCAGCCTCCTAAAGTGCTGGGATTACAGGCTCGGCACAGAGTTACAACTCTTCCACCCAACTCTCCCTTTAACAGAGGATCCATCTATTTTTTAATTGAACAACAGATACTCATTAAGAAAACCAGTTTTCAAAATCACTCTCAAACCCAAAATTCCAAGAAAATGCTTTAGCTTTTTGAGTGTAACCTTTTGTATTTTTTATGATTATAATTGTGGCTTGCCTATTGTAAATTTTTCTGCTTTTGCATCATATTCCACTATTAACATTGTACATTCCAACACGGACTTTATAATGATCATGTAAACATTCTTTTTTTTTTTTTTTTTTTTTTTGAGGCAGCGTCTTGCTCTGTCATCCAGGTTGAAGTGCACACTGCAACCTCTGCCTCCCAGGTTCAAGTGATCTCATGTCTCAGCCTCCTGAGTAGCCTGGGATTACAGGCATGTGCCAACACATGTGGCTAATTTTCGTATTTTTATTAGAGACGGGGTTTTGCCATGTTGGCCAGGCTGGTCTCCAACTCCTGGCCTCAAGTGATCCTCTAACTTCAGCCTCTCAAAATGTGGGATTACAGGCATGAACCATCATACCCAGCCCACTTAAACATTCTTTATGTCAGTGTACCATTTAAGTAAAATATTCCCCTAATTCAGGGAAGGTATGTTATTTGTGATTTTTGTTTCTATAGATGAAGCAATTGGTAAGTTATCAAGCTGTTATGTTGCTGCTCTTATTTCTTTCTCCCTCCCTCTTCATCATGCCTTTAGATCAAGAAACTTTTTTTTTTTTTTGGAGATAGGGTCTTGCTCTGTTACCCAGGCTGGAGTGCAGTGGCATGATCATGGTTCACTGCAGCCTTGACCTCCTGAGACCAAGCAATGCTTTCATTTCAGCCTCCCAAGTAGCTGGAACTACAGGGACATGCCACCATGCCCAGCTATTTTTAAAATTTTTTATAGAGATGGGGTCTTACTATGTTGCCCAGGCTGATCTCAAACTCCTAGGCTCAAGCAATCCTCCCGCCTCAGCCTCTCAAAATCTTGGGATTACAGGTTTGAACCACTGCACCCGACCACTTCTTTGTATTGTCCTTTGAAAACCAGTTTTTATCATTGGTCAATGTTTGGGTCCTTGTGTGTCTCCCAAGTAGCCACTGTCATAGGAACATGTGATGGGAGTAGACCAAGGCGTTACAGACCTCCTTACACAAAGATGCCACTACACATGAGTTTCAATGACTTGGCTTGACTGCTGCCATCTCCTGTCACACAACACACTAACCTTTGGGACATGAAGTGCACAGAGTTGCAGATCCATTGCAGGTTTTACAAGAAGAATGACAAGGCTGGGATTTTCTCAAAGTATCTGTATGAGAAAGAAACAACAGTTCAGGCTTCTCCTTTGAATAGGCACATAGGATTCCAGTGCTGAAAAAGATCTCATGGGTAACCTAGTCCCTTTTCCTGCCCCAAATGGAATCCTTTTGATTGTACATGAGCTGATTGTTGGCACTGGCTCATTGCCATTGTGTAGACTTCATTTATTTTTTTTTCTCTTACTCCTTCATTTGCAATTGAATATCAAGACTTCATTGGCAATTGATTATCAAGAAAGATACCACATGAATGTGTGGTACCAAAAGGAACGTGGTATCTTATAAGATAGCCTCAAATACTGTGGGGATATCTGAACTAACAAATGATTACTTATTTTGTGTGTTAAAAATGGGAGTGTGAGTTTGTATTTGTGTGTATGCATTTGTGAATTAGTTTATGAGTCAAAGGTAATCACTTCTATTGCCAAGATTGTTGGATGACCTTTTCTTTTCTTGTCTTTTTTTTTTTTTTTTTGAGACAGAGTCTCGCTCTGTAGCCCAGGCTGGAGTGTAGTAGTATGATCTTGGCTCACTGCCACCTCCGCCTCCTGGACTCAAGCGATTCTCCGGCCGAGTAGCTGGGATTACAGGTGCACACCACCACGCCCGGCTAATTTTTGTATTTTTAGTAGAGACAGGGTTTCGCGGTGTTGACCAGGCTGGGCTCGAGCTCCTGACCTCAGGTGATCCACCCACCTCAGCCTCCCAAAGTGCTGGGATTACAGGCGTGAGCCACCGTGCCCAGCCGGATGACCATTTTTCTTCACTCCAAGATGATAATTGAGAATTCATTGTACCTCTCGTGGAGGAACTTCTTTTCTTTTTTCTGTTTTTGTTCTTCGAAAATCAGATTTTATTATTGGTCAAAGTTTGGGTCACTGTTTTCTTCAGAGTAGCTACTGTGCTATGCAACCTAAATTTATCTCATCTTAAATTTGTCCCAAATCATTGTTAAACATCAAAATTTTCCCCTACTCATGAGCTTTCTGGTTGGTCGGGCTATAAGTAGGCCATCCCAGGTTAATACACCATTCACCAGGGAAACATTGGAAGTGTTCCCTTCTCCCTTTCCCTCCAACAGCATTTGATGGGCAGGCTTTCCCAGGAGGTCACCTCAGCAACTCCATGGGACAGTTTCACAGACAGAACAGCTTCAAGACTTCACTCAATCAATACACACTGAGACCTTGACTAGAGCTCAGGGATTGCTCAGAAATCAGCATGGCTCACATAGGGAAAAATTAGAAAACGACCTTCTAGCTCAGAATGTGGGATTTCAATGACCCTGACCCTCAACCAGTGTTGACATCTTACCATTTCCCTTCATTACCTCCTCCCTCCCTTTCTCCCTTCCTTCCTCTCCTGACTTTCATCTTCTTTCTTCTCATCCTAAGAGTCAGAGCCGGGTATAGATGGCTCTCTAGTCACACCTGCCTTCAGATCCCAGCTGTGCCACCGAAGGGAAGGGTAACCATGGATACAGTAATTAAACTCTCAGAGTCCTGCTTTCCTTGTCTCTAAAATGAGAGAAAATAATTCTGCCCTTATAGGATTGTTGTGAAGACGAAATGAGATAATGTGTGCTAAGTGCTTAACAGTGGCACAGTAAATGGTAGTTCCTCCTGCTTCCTGTTGTCTCTCTCCCGTCACCATTCCACTCCATTTCTGAGGCTTGTTTTACTCCCCTCTTCTTTCCCTCTGGTTTCATACCTGAGTGGCACCCCTCGGCTTCTACAATATCGTGGATACAAAGCTGATGAGCCTTGCTATAGAGGAAACTAGATTCAAATACAGATGGTAGAAAGATACGTACATAGATGGATAGGATGGATAGATACAGATACGGGGATAGATGCAGATACAGGTGGAGATGGTGTTGGAGATGTAAATGATTAGGCTGCCATGCAGGGTAGTTGGTTTTCTCCTAGTTTGGAGAGAAAAATTTACCCTGGTTTTCTTTGATTTTTTGAGACAGAGTCTCACTTCATCGCCCAGGCTGGAGCGCAGTGGTGCGATCTTGGCTCACTGCAACCTTTGCCTCCCAGGTCCAAGCGATTCTCCGGTCTCAGCCTCCCAAGTAGCTGGGATTACAGGCGCCTGCCACCAACCCTGGCTAATTTTTGTATTTTTAGTAGAGATGGGGTTTCCTCATGTTGCCCAGGCTGGTCTCGAACTCCTGACCTCAGGTGATCCACCCGCCTTGGTCTCCCAAAGTGCTGGGATTACAGGTGTGAGCCACTGCAGCCAGCCCCCTGGTTTTCCAATATACTAATTAAAGCTGATGACTGACTGGTGTACTCTCTCTGGAGCATCTGTTAAGGGCTGAATTTAGCCTTGTGCAGAGCCACAGGATTGTCACAAAGGTGTTCCTCATGCCTCTCAAAGTAACCGATTCTGTCCCCGAAGGCCTTTTAAACCTGCAATATCACTGAGCCCCAAAGAGATGGCAGCCGAAAGGCGAGCAACAATCCTGTTGCTACTATCAGTCAGATGTTCACTGAATGGCTGAGAGCAGTTGTGCAAAGAGTAATAAGACAACAATATTAATCAGAGAGTGAACACCTTGCAAATCTTCAATGTTCTACGTCCAGGCTTCAGGCTGATTTTCCTTTGATGTTATCATGTATATACTAAAATATATTTATAAAGACATGAGTTTTCATTAATTTTCTCATATTTGTATACATTTTAATGTCTATATCTACACATATGCACATATTTATAATTACATGTATCTCACATTCTGGCAATTTGGTATTTTACTGCATACACCTGGTATAAAATTCTATAATGTCAGCCAAGCAAGGTGGCTTATGTCTGTAATCCCAGCAATTTGGGAGGCCAAGGTGGGAGGATCGCTTGAAGCCAAGAGTTTGAGACCAGCCTGGACAATACAGGGAAACCTTGTCTCTTAAAAAATAATAACAAATAAAAATAAAATAAAATTCTGTAATGTCTCCATATGTCCACCAGAGGGAGATCTGTACAAGCAGTTAACTTAGCAATCAGGCCTGGGCATGGGATAAAGTCCTCCCCAGCAAGAGTTCTTTATCATAAAAGATTAGGGACTTAACCTCAGCAAGTAAATTTTAACCGTGATCATAGTTTCTCTTTTTCCCACTCTGGAAATTCTAGACTGGACAGGACCGAAAAAAAAAAAAAAAAAAAAGAAAGAACCACTTTGATCCAGAAAGTGCAGTATCCATTCTTCAGAAATGCCTGTAGCTAAACTATATAAAGCAAGGGGTTCATTTATTCTACTTATTTTTTATTTAATACATAATCTGCACATGGTGCAAAATGGAGAAAAGGCATATACTGTGATGTCTCCCTCCTAATCCCTTCTCCACCCTTTTTCGTACAAACTGTATCTATTCACATGGTTTATCACCTTGCCTGTAAACAAGCAATATATTTGGAGATTAGTCTTTATCAGTACAGAAAGAACCTCTTCCTTTTGGTGGCTCCATAGTATTCTATTGTATGAATACATTGACTTTATTTCTCTCGTCTCCTACTGGTAACCACTTAGTTTTTTCCAGTCTTTGTGATTTCAAACAATGCCGCAGGGACTGGGAAAGCAGAGGTGCTACCTCAGCCTATTAAAGTTTTGTGAGGACAGATGCTCTTCTTGATAACCTCTGCCAGGCATGACCATTTAGCACGTCACGCATGTCCTTATCTGTTACGGAAATCTCCACTGCTGAGCTTCTCACAGTCTTCCCTCTGAGTGACCGCTCATAGGTTGTGTTTATGGCCCCCTCCTCTCTCCATCTTTTTCTAATGACCTCTGCATCTCTGCACCCCATTTGCATCTGGCCTCCCAGCTTCTTGGGGTGATTTTTCCACGGAGACCGTCTCCAGAGACAGTCTCTGCCGCTGTGATTGTCACCTCCCTATTTCCCTGTTACCTCTTTTGATTTGAACTTTCCACCTTCGTCGCTCTTGCAGCAGGCTCTTCACCACAGATAGGTTTGCAATGGGCACAGCTTCTTTTTTATTAAAAAAAAAGTGTTTAGTTTTTTTAATGCAAAAAGGATAAAGAAGATAAACTTCACCCATAATCCCACCACCCAGGAATGTCTGTTGTTTATACTGTGGTACATGGATGTCTCATCTTCATATCGAGTGTGTGAGTATAATTACATCTATGTATAGATGTGTGATCATTTATAGCTTCCGTATACATAAGACTGACCTTGAACACTGTATTTAACACTATAAATCTCGTAGGCATTTTCTCTTGTCATTAACATTCCTTGTAAACATTATTAGTATTTTTTTTAAATTTTTTTTTACGAGGAGTCTTGTTCTGTTTCCCAGGCCAGAGTGCGGTGGCACCATCTCAGCTTGTTGCAACCTCTGGCTCCCAGGTTCAAGCGATTCTCCTGCCTCAGCCTCCCAAGTAGCTGGGACTACAGGCAAGCACCACCATGCCTGGCTAATTTTTTGTATTTTTAGTAGAGATGGGGTTTCACCATGTTGGCCAGGTTCGTCTCGAACTCCTGGCCTGAAGTGATCTGCCCACCTTGGCCTCCCAAAGTGCTGGGATTATAGGCGTGAGCCACCGCGCATGGCCCCCAGAATTGCTTTCTTTCGTGACCCAGGGAATGCTGCTTTCAAAGCAAACTAGTGTTTCAAGTGTTAAAACTGGCCTGAGTCAAAGAGTTAGGGAGTATATTAGGCTTTATTGTGTCATATGTGTCCTGAGAGCTTTATATGCATTTTCTCATTTAATTCTTAAAATGACTTTGTGTGAGGCAGTTTCATGTTTTCACTTTACAGACAAGGACACTGAGGCTCAGAGAGGATGAGTAACTCACTCAAGGTTACACAGCTAGCAAATCACAGAGCCAGGATTTGAATTAATGTGTGCTGCGCTCTAAAGTCTGCATCTGCTAGAGGGTGTAGACATAGGCTTTTGAATTTTTCAGTAATAAATTTGAATTCTAAAGTAATTTGATAGAAGCCAAAGTAATGGTGTGCTGGTAAGACAGGTCTCTAGAAAATGAAAAACCAAAAACCTGATTTGTAGTGTTTCCAATTTCTGTGGTGTAAATACTCCCACCATAGCCAATTTCAAGCTGTCAATGGTTTCACAATCCACTTAGAGAACTCCTGAGTATGTAACGATCCGTGCAAGTTGATACGGATGCTTCCTTCATCCTACTGGCCAAACAGTTGATTACTTACCCAGTGCCATGTGTTTTTTTGCACTCTGTGTTCTGGTAGGTTAAATAAATAAAAATAGTGCACTCATTTCTAAGTGAGGCAGCTGCACACATCTACAAAGTCCTTCTAAAAATCAGATTTCCGTGGCATCTTTGAAGTTTTCTAAAGTTCAGTGACTATTAGGCAAAATATCTTCCCAGTACTGAAGTGGATTTTTTTTTTTTCCCCACATGTGTGTGGCTTTCAGTGTTTGTGACTAACTCTGGGATTCCAGTCTTTCCCCAAGGATAAGAATTAAGATCAAGAGACAGGCTAGTGATAAATTGTTAGGATGTGGTCAAAGACACAAAGCTAATTCACCATGTCTGTGTTCTGTAGATTAGACTATCACCAGAATATGTAATTAGAGCCTGTTATAACATGGATTTAATCAATGATGGAAATATGAGGTAAGAGAAATGTGCAGAAATTACTCCTAGGACTTTCCAGCACTACCAGGGGAAACCACTTAAGAAAATCCAAATGGTTTAACAGTAACAGAGGAAACTCTTTCCATTCCCAACAATGGCTTCAGGAAACCAGCTGAAGCCATCATCTTCCTTCAAAGCCCGTGGTCTGCCATACCTGAACCTTTCCACCAAGGTTGTGTGATGCTTGAGTCACCGCTGAGGCCGTTTGCAGCCTGTTGAATATTATATTGTTTTGTTGTTGTTTTTTGACAGAGTCTCTCTCTGTTGCCCAGGCTGGAGTGCCGTGGCACAATCTCAGCTCACTGCAACCTCCACCTCCCAGGTTCAAGTGATTCTCGCACCTCAGCCTCCCGAGTAGCTGGGATTACAGGCACCCACCACCATGCCCAGCTAATATTTTTTGCATTTTTAGTAGAGATGGGGTTTTGCCGTGTTGGCCAGGTTGGTCTTGAATTCCTGACCTCAAGAGAGCTGCCTGCCTCGGCCTCCCAAAGTGCTGGGATTATAGTCGTGAGCCACCATGTCTGGCCTTGAATATTGGTTTTATTCCTGCCATTTAGGGACACTAAATAATTGTCACAGTATACATCCCCAGACAGAGGGTCTGGGGATGATCTATACATTTGTGCAGTGACTTTTTGGTGGCTGAAAAAACAGAGAGTCGAGCGCCATCTTTGATGACTTAGTCTTGGCTGGAGGATTTGTCAGGCACTGTCTGATAGGTGGAGGAATCTGCATCCTTGGACTAGGTGGGAGGTATTCCCACTTTGCTGGTAGTTGGCAAAGAATGATGGCTCTCTCACTGTAGTCATTCTCATCCTGATTAGCCACCTTATTAAAAGAGGAGTTCAGGGAACTCTAGCTGGGCTTTTATTTCAAGGGTGTTTTCCCAGCCTATGCTGATAGATCCTCCTGGGTTGTAGTCTTCAGATGCAAACAGGATCTTACTGTTTCCACTGGGGAGCAGCATGGGTGAAGGAATGGATTGAAGTGTGCGTCATCTTACCTCTCCTACCTGAATCTGAATCTGAGTTTGAAAAACAAAATAAAACAAAACCTAAAACAGAACAGAAAAACGTTCTGGTACTACCTAGACAGCTATATCCTCTCAAAAACACTCTGTACTTTGCCTGGGTTTCCTCTGATTTGACCCAGGATGACTGCAGTCTGCTTTCCATCATCTTAAAGGTGTGGCTAATTAGTGCTTGTTCTCTGGAACCCTCTACTCTCCTATTACACTCTCTATCCTGTTTTTTAAGAAAAAGAAGTCAGGAGAAGGTTGTAGGCATTGGCTCAAATACTCCCAGGACTTTATGGAATGCATTTCCCATTTACTCTCCATTTCAGTGCTTACACTATGCTGGGGGAAGCTGAGCTATGGCTTTACTGTGCTTAGTGAATAAATGGCTATTTCTCTGTGTTAATGGTCTGCATGTCTTATTTCATAGGTCATAGGAATGAGAAAGTACAGCTCTGTCATTGATTTGTTTTTGTCCATCCATGAGAAACACTCCCATCTCTGTCCCCAATCCCCTGTTAGTGAAAAATCCCCAAATACACTAATTCCTCCCTCTCTTCAGAAACATTACATTGCAATAGTAGAAAATGCGGAGGGGTGGGTGTGGTGCTTCGACAAAAGGGAACCACTGAAGCCTGGTTTCTGCTTGCAAAATGCGTAGTCCAGTTGAAGGGACGTGGAATCATTTGGGGAATCAAGCCTGCTCTAACTCTTGGCTCCCTGGACCGTGTCATCATCTGGACGCCAGATAAAATACAGATGTTCAGCGAGAAACACAGCACCAGACCATTTTCCTTTTGGCGTGCGCTGCCTCTTAGATGCCTGAATGCCAGACAAACTCATTTTCAGCATTTTGCTTCAGCTATAACTCACAGAAGATATCCCAATCTGGATTGAATCATCTTCTCAGCTATGTCTCTGAAAGAGGGCCCACGTTCTCTGTGGCCTTTGGCTGCCGGGTTTTTCACGGTCTCTGAGCTGCTCTTCCTTGAAGTCACATGTGTAAAACTGCTGTAGTAGACAGCAGCCATGGACAGGCCTCCTCTCCAGCCCAGCATAAACCACAGAGCTGTCACTCCCTCGAGCCCTTAGCACACTCCTCCTGCACAACCGTCTCTCCGACTGCCATTGCCTCTGCACCAAATTGACCCTTTAAACCAATTCTTGCCTCGAAATCAAATGAAGAGCAGCTCCTGTTTTTGTGACTGTCTCTGCATAGAACAGGAGTCAGATTTTTCCAGCAGGAAGAGGATTTTGTTTTGTAACAACCTCGGACACGGAGGGGTCGCTGCAAGTTTGTAATTACCTTGCAAGGAAGCCTGTAACTGAAGCTCAGGTGTGAGGAGGCGTGTTGTAAAGACGCAGGGAGGAATGCGCACCTGCAGGGCTTTGCTGTTGGATTCCAAGCTCCCACACCTGTCTCCTCTCCTCCCTCCTCAAGAAGCTTCATGCTTTCCCTGTCTGCAACTGGGGAGAGCAACTTTTAAAGGCAAGCTTGAATGATGGTGAGCTCTAACAACGCAGCCATGGAGACCATCTGTTTTTAGCATAAATTCTAATATGTTCGAGCAGTCCTTCCTTGTCTAATTGGAAAAGCCTACCCTACAGGTAAAATTTTCCTTTACTATAAAAAGGACATGTAATAAGGACATAGGACCTGCCTGTGATGGAAGTGACTCTGAAATTTCAGAGAAAAATGATACCGGGGCCATTTCCCTCCGTGACTCTCTTCAGTTGCTTCTGGGCCTGCTTCACCCAGGTAGAAACTCAAGGGGGTGGACCAATCATAAATTTGCCCTTTGGGCTCTCTCTGCTGGCTGAACACCAACCTCAGCTTCCTACCTACTCCTGCTACAAGCATCAGAGAGACTCAGGAACGACCCCAACTTGATTCTCACTCCAAACTCTTGTTTTTCTGCACAGCCTTTCTCTCCTGGATAGTTCAAAAAACCAGAGTTATAGAAGGAAGGAAGCAGAGTAGGCAGCTAGACCCCTGTGATCTCTTTTTGGGAGGCACATACCATTCCAGAATTTGCCCTCCTCCTGGGTCTGGGTGGCACGCACGCACACCCCACGCAGCGGCTGCAGTCCTTCCCGGCAGCTGCTGCACTCGTCATGACCAGGGCCTGTGCAGGTTTCGCACTCTCGGTGGCAGGGCTCACATTCTCCCATTTCTTGGTCACCATAGAATCCAGGGCCACATTTCCTCACACAACTGCCACCTATGTGAGAACACAGAGAGAAAGCATGAAGGCTTTGGTGATCTTTGCAAGGCCAAGTTCTAAAGAGGCTGGAGGAAATTTTAGGGACCTTTTTCTTTGCATTTGTTTTTATTGTTATTTTTGAGATGGAGTATCTCTCTGTTGCCCAGGCTAGAGTGCAGTGGCACGATCTTGGCCCACTGCATCCTCCACCTCCCATATTCAAGCCATTCTCCTGCCTCAGCCTCCTAAATAGCCAGGACTACAGGTGTGTGTCACCACACACGGCTAATTTATATATTTGTAGTAGAGATGGGGTTTCACCATGTTGGCCAGGCCACTCTGTCCAGGCTTTTCATTTGTTTTTAAAGAAACCAAGATGGCTTTAGCTTATTTCAACCAAGAAATGTGTTTTAATAAATCCAGACTGGGCAAGGTGGCCCATGCTTGTAATCCCAGCACTTTGGGGGGTTGAGGTTGGCAGATCACCTGAGATCAGGTGTTCGAGACCAGCCTGGCCAACAGAGGGTGCAGTGAGCTGAGATTGCACCACTGCACTCCAACCTGGGTGACAAGAGCGAGACTCCATCTAAAAAAAAAAACAAAACCCAACACTTTACCTAAGTCCTCTTTCAACTGGGAATTTACATTGGCCATTAAAGGGTTAAGAGCATTGACTACAGAATCCTTGAGGCCTTGAAAAACTACAAATAAAATAAATCTCTGTGTAGAGAAACACTGAAGAACGTTGTGGGCTGTCTTTCTCATTCTTTCTCCCCCAAACACTCAAGTGCATTGGGCTATTATCTCTTCAGCTGCAAGATTCACACTGTATTTCTTTCCTAACTATCCATTTCCATAAGTCAGTGACCAAAACCTAAGGCAAGGGATCTTGTTAAATTCTTACAGTGCACAGGGATATATGAGATGGATTAAATCTCAAGACAAGGGTCAGAGCTCTCAATATGCCAGGTGACTTCAATACCAAAACATTTATCTTCAGCTACCCACTCTCTATCTCCATCCAATTCAGCCTTGTTTCCATCAGCTTGGAGATATGTGAGATTAATTAGTGGAACAGGACCCATGCTTCAGTAATAAAAGCAGAAGGAAGTGGTTCAGCTAATGTTTATTTCTAAACCAAATTAAAATTTCTCCTTGGGCCAGAGGTGCCAGAACACACAGACTCTGAAACTAATCACATGTGTGCTCCTGCGGTCCCAACTGGGTGGAGCTCCAGTGCCTGGTTCTCACCTTGGATGGTACCATTTTCTAACTTACCCAAGAGAAAGAAGCCCTCTTCACACCAGTAACACCCATTCTGGTCACAGCTGCCACAGTTACTATCGCATGCCTTGCATTCCAGTTCCTCACTGTAGGTCTTCTCAGGACAGGTTTTATAACAATGCTGATCAAACCTAGAGGAAGAGGACATCATTTCTTGCATGACATACGTTGATGTATTACTCTTCACCACCATAATTTAATCTGCTTATATATATCTATGCAGAGTTTTTTGTTTCGTTTTGTTTGAGATGGAGTTTTGTTCTTGTTGCCCAGGCTGGAGTGCAGTGGTTGATCTCGGCTCCCTGCAACCTCGGTCTCCCGGGTTCAAGTGATTCTCTTGCCTCAGCCTCCCGAGTAGCTGGGATTACAGGTGCACACCACCATGCCTGGTTAATTTTTGTATTTTTTTTCTAGAGAGGGGGTTTTGCCATGTTGGCCAGGCTGGTCTCAAACTCCTGACTTCAAGTGATCCGTCCAGCTCTGCCTCCCAAAGTGTTGGAATTACAGGCATGAGCCACCACGCCCAGCCCATGCAGCGTTTTCAGCAGGAGTGAGTAATTGAATTTCAGGTTTGGTCTGTTGTGCCCCCGTCAACCCAAGTCACTAACCACCTCCTTCTGGACCTCCAAGGACTCTTTATCAGGGCAGCTGGGAGAAGGCTGGGGAGAAGGAAGGGGTACTGATACTTTTTTATACAGTACTGATTATGTGTCAAGTATTAGCTCATCTAAATCTCCACAAATCTCGTGTGGTAGATATCATGTATCTTTAATTTCTAGGTAAGGGAACTGGAGCTCAAGGTTAAGCGCTCAAAATCACACAGCTAGCTAATGGTGGGACTGGGATTTTAACCAAAGTCTGTGTGAAAAGGTTGCTTGTGTGATTTGTCACATAGCAACTGGCACCGAGGCCTGAAATAGCTTGGTGTCAAGCCCAAGCAGCTTACTAAAATGTCTGTAACCAGATTATTAACAATAGTAGCGAAGCAGCTTAGCTTTTATTTATAAATATTTTTATGTATGTTATCTGTTATTCTCATGATACAGTAAAAATGTTGTAATTCAGACTTCACTGAATTGCAGGCTTACCTGAAGGGGGAGTGGACTGAAATCGACCCCTGCCTTTGATGAATTTCAAAGCATCAGCATGATATCAGGGGAAACCTTTGCATATCTTCTTTAACAACTTCTTTTTTTTTTTTTTTTTTTTTGAGACTAAGTCTCCCTGTCACAGAGGCTGGAGTGCAATGGTGTGATCTTGGCTCACTGCAACCTCCTCCACCTCCTGGGTTCAAGCGATTCTCCTGCCTCAGCCTCCTGAGTAGCTGGGATTACACATGCGCACCACCATACTCAGCTAATTTTTGTATTTTTAGTAGAGATGGGGTTTCCCCATGTTGGCTAGGCTGGTCCCAAACTCCTGGCCTCAGGTGATCCACCCACCTCGGCCTCTCAAAGTATTGGGATTACAGACGTGAGCCAACATGCCTGGCAACAACCTCTATTGTATAGCATTTCACTAGCTGTATTCAAAATTGCTAAATGTTTTCAAAGATTAGATATGTTTGTTTCTTGAAATAAATATCTCATGTTGTACCCTTAGTGATATTGGAGCATGTTCTTTCAGGGTATTTGTTTTTCAGAGGGTTTTATGAAACATGCTCATTAGCGAGTTAGTGGTGAACTGGAGAGGTGGCCAAGTTTGGCTCCAAAGTTTAACAGAGGGTGTTTAACAAAGTTTAACAGAGCCTGGCCAACATGGCGGAACGCTATCTCTACTAAAAATACAAAAACTATTGGGCGTGGTGGTGTGTGCCTGTAATCCCAGCTACTAGGGAGGCTGAGGCACAAGAATTGTTTGAACTTCGGAGGCAGAGGTTGCAGTGAGCTGAGATCTTGCCACTGCACTCCAGCCTGGGCCACAGAGTGAGACTCTGTCTAAAAAACAAACCAAAAAACAAACAACAACAAAAAAACAAAGTGGGTCAAGAGTGCAGTGATGTGAGACATAGTCAGGGTACAGAATGGCAGGCTATTCTGGAAAAGTTAGATTAAAACCAGAAGGCTAAGAACTGATAAGGTTAACTGATCATTTTTAGTATGTTTTAGCTTGTTGGTCTTCCTTTTCTTTCCCATCCTCCTCACTCCTTTCACTTCTTCCTACCTGTTACCACATTTCAAGCGTATTTGTCTTTGGACAGGTGGGTCACCTCCTCTTGTCACCATATTGCTTTGTCTGATTCCATGGATGGAGGGAAAAGGCAATGTGGTGACAAGAGGAGGTGACCTGCCAAAGTCCAAATGTTCCAAATGCAGACCTGTCACTAGCTGTGTGCAACCTGAGTAAAACCTTGTCCCTCTCTGAGCTTCAGTTTTCTCTTCAGGAAATTAACATCCTCCTTGTGTCTCTGACAATCTCGATAAAATGATGGAGAGATGAAATAGTTGTGGGAGTTTGTATATCACAAAACTTCTGAGTTCTTTGGAGGACAGGGAGGGATTATGCAGCCTGTGCATTACCCAGGGCCTTCCTTTCCTTTGCAGCTCCTTTCTCTTTAGTTTTCCTTCGAGGGCAGTCAACAGTGTGTGCTGGACGGGAGGCTAGACTAGGAAGAGGAGGTGATATTTTAACATGCCATTTTTGATTTTGTGGATTTTTGTTAGAGTGTGTTGGCAGTGATGGTTACCTCTGTTTCATTTAACCTAGTGGTCTGTGTCTGTCGTTACCTAGGGGATGATTGAGCTAATATAGCACCTGGCTTCGCCCTGGCGCCTTCGCTCTGGTTAAGGACAAGGTATCCATGCAGACGTTTGCAAACAGCTTACTTGGGACCAGGTATATTATTAAGGTCTGTCCATGAACAGCAAGATCTGAATCTTGGTAACCCATGGCAGGATTCCTAGACACCAGTGTCAGGCTGGATGACTTCCAGGATCAAGAAAGAGATGGCCTCCTTTCGAGGCAAGGAAACAGCTGGGCTCTTATTGCTAAATCCAAGAATTGCTCATTAATAGCCTGACAGGACAGAGTTGCTTCAGGCTACAGGGCCACTTTGCTTTAATCACTGGATTGAGGATTAAGTCAGTAATGCTTAAACTGCAGAAAAGTTAGTGCCATGAAAAGGAAGGCCAGACTTACCTGTAATACCCCATAGCGCAAGATGTGCACGTTCCTGGATCATCTGGAAAAAAATTAAAACAATAAAAAATAATAATTATGAGGAATTTGTCATTTGGAAAAATAGGCTCTGGAAAAGTTGTGGCTTGAGATAAACAATCCTGTGGGATAGTTTCATGAAATGTACTGTCCAGAAATAAAATGTGAACAGATTGCACCATTTTTAATTAGTAACAAGATGTACACTAGGATTTATCTTTATCAAAGGTAATAAGAGTTCTTATAAACACTTGGCCCTACTTTCAAGGAGGAATAGGCTCAAGCTACTGGGTCTTCAAATTAAAGATCAATGACCATCCACATTAAGAACCTCCTGGCCTCTAAGAGATAGGGGGATCAAGCAAGTCCACACACAAATATTTGGAAAGGGCTACAAGCTTCTGACCCTGAATAGAGGGTTTTCCATCAGTTACCCCAGAATCTTGCCAATGGAAGTGAGCATCATTTGGGGCACTCCTTTGAAATCTACACAATTATTTTTCCCAAGTATCCACTTCATGTTATGCCCTTCGCAACCTTCTTAAAAAAATTGTCCTGGTCTCATTAAGAGTAATGATTCAATGCGTCCCTTCTGGCTCACAGAAGGGTTCTCTCCTGCAGCTTTCAGGGGACTTAAAGAGAGAAAGGATTTTCAGAGTCATCATCTCAGTCTATTTCTCTCCCTCCTAACACTTCCCAAGAGATGCAACTCTCAGATCTGGCTATAAAGAGAATTCTATGACTTCCTCTGGCCTGCAGTTCTTGCACGTAATAGAGCTATCACTGGCAGGTTCTTTCTGTGATCTAACCTACCCTCCAGTCTTGCTCTTTTTATTTTAATAGGAGATGAAAGGCAACTGCTCCTCTTTAAAATGTTCCTCTTGGTATGTGAAAATTTTATGTCACCTTTAATTAACAAAATAAAACTATATCATTTGAACTTTGTGCATAGCATTCCTTTCTAATCTGTTCTGCCCTCTTCTGGTTTTCTCAGACTGCCCTTAAGAGGTAGACACAACCTCATCCAAATCTTTAGTCACACGTTCATCTTAGGTCCTAGGGAGGCTACCAAATGATATTACTGTGTACTACACGTAACACAACTAATGCATTGCACCAAATGTTAAGTGGGAAAATTTCTAGCAAAGGCTCTGCTAATTAAAGCAGGGATCTGCAGAAACTTCTGGAAATAGCTTGATGATGGTGCAGTGGAAAGAGCGCTGGCCTGGAAATTGAGCTTCCTGTTTGAAGTTTCAACTCAGGCTTAATTGTGTTGTGAACATGCACAAATGTCACTCTACTTTCTGGGTCCTGGTTTCTGCTGGTATAAAATGAGCTGGTTGGACAAGATGGTTGTTAAGACTTCCGGAAAGTCACAGTTTCCGAAATTGAGCCTAGCAAGAGTTGGCAATTGTGGCCCGCCCCAGGACCTTGACCTTGCCATCTATTTATTTGTATTGTGTAAGAATGCTTTCATTCTATATAACTAGAGTTGAGTAATTGCAAGAGACCAAAGATATTTACTCCCTGCCACTTCACAGAATTTGCCATCCCCTGACTATAGCACTATCAGCTCGTGACTTGGTCATGCTCATCTCTGCTAGGGGACGCAGGTGCTGTAGTTGTCTTAACAGCTGGTTTCAGAGTTCCTCTTAGCAAAAGAACCATCTATATTTGGGAAACTACCTTGTTAAGCTCCTTGGGGTAGAAGTTTAATTGCAAGAGTTGAACAAGAGCCAAGACAGCCAAAGAGATAGAAGGGCCCTTCTGCAGGAAGCTGTTATCTGCTCATGGGTGGGAAATGGTTTTTAATGTCTGGGTCAGCATAGTTTGTAATACAGTGACTAAGACAGGACAGTGAAATGAACCAAAAACCAGGCTAATTAGGTGGAACCAGGAACTGAAGCTAGAGGTGACCATGAGAAAGAAAAGCTCCCTGGCATTCTTAGAAATCTTGGGGAAGGCCAATTCATAGACTGGGGATCTGAACCCGTTGTAAGTGCATGCAGAGGCCCCAACACCAGTGGTTCCCCTGTACTAGTTCATTTTCCATTACGAGTCTATTTTTGCATCCATATTCTTTTCAGTTTCTAAATAACTTCCTACCACTAAGCTTGCATTGGGGCAGCTTGCTTTACTCTGCCTCCCTGATGAACATATTTGACTCTAACAGTTTTGCTAATTTGGCAAGGGCTGGGGAAATTCTAATCCTGTTCTTTAATGTTCTGGTCATCCCTCCCATCTAGGAACTTAATGAGCTTGCTCTCTGCTCCTTTAAGCAGGTCACTGATGAAAATGTTAAACAGAACCAAGCCTCAGAAATGTGCATACCAATGCAATCTTGAGTTCAGGGACTTTTCCAGCCCAGTTGCACAGCGAATTTGGTACCTTTACAACTGTTTGCATAAATGAATAATGCATAGAACAGGAACTGTGTCTTATAACAGTTTATGAATGTCCATTAGTTTTTCTCATTATTACCAGTTGTTCTAAAGAATGAGAATTATTTAAAAAATGTTTTCCACCCCAGAAGATCCACAAGTCAGACATAAGCTAAATGGATTTAGCTTGACCACTGAGAGGCTGCTGTTATGAGTTTAAGGAAGAAGGTAACAATCCCAAATCTAGAAGTTGACTCTAAGTCAGCTTGGCATTTAGATGGTGAGGAGGGGTGGCTTAAGGAGAAAGATGAATTTTCCTGGTTTCTAGTGTGTGTGTGTGTTTGTGTGTGTGTGTGGTAAGGGGAATGGAAAGGGAGTCTAAACAAGCTACAATTGTTAGCTGTCTTGGAAGGTGTTATCCAAAGAAGGATGTTTAAATAGCTCGGGTGATTTGATCTTGTCAAACTTTTGAGCTGAGAGAGCATATTTTAGGGAGAGATAGGGAAAGTTCAGTCAGAATTCAGAGACAGCCTCACACATTTGGAAAAAAGCCTTCAGAAACAGTGGCTGGCTTCCAGCTGCTCATTGTCCCTCCTAAGGAGAGCATGCAAGCAGGTGCCTTGTCAGGATGGGGATGCCGTCTTTCTGTCTCGAGAAAACTCATTGTTATTGTTTCATTTGTATAGGGTGGGGTGGGCAGGACTACAATGTCCACTCTATGTTGAGAGCTCTTCATGATGCCCTGTGTCACCTTCCCACTGTGACACAGTGGGATCATCCGTACCGTCGCTCATCATGAACTCACTGTCCCATGGAGAAATTGCCTCCTGCTTCAACATCACCTTCAGCAGCCAATTTACATTCTATGCCATTTTATTTTGTTCTCAGTAACACCAATCACCTTCACCATTGAATTTGGATGGATGAGGGCCACAGTGGGAGCTGTGCACATCGTACCTATAAGATGTATTGGGAAGGAGATATTTTAAACTTGAATGTCTAGAGAAGAATTTATTTTTATGGTTTACATGAACTTGGTGTCCCATAATTCAGGATACATACAAGTGGAGGGTGAGCATAACCATGGCAACCTCATGCAGACTGTGAGAGGGTCCTGGCCTCCTGCTGCTCTGTGAGAAAGAAAATGTCAGCCCAAGTCAGCAAGCTGGCATCTCATGAAGATGCAATGTCACAATTACAGGGTGAGACTGGCCGCCCTGGCCATACTGGCTGTCCAAAGAGACCAGGTCTCCCTATGGTATCCAGGCTGGTATCAAACTCCTGATCCCAAGTGATCCTTCTGCTTTGGCTTCCCAAAGTGCTGCGGTTACAGGGAAGTTATTTTGTCACTGGATAAAGATACTTGTGAAGAAACTGGACTTCCAGCTTCCAGGTTATGTGTCTCAGTATTCTAGCAGAAAAGCATGGAATTTAAGATGGGGTCTCACTGTATTGCCCAGGTGGTTTTGAACTCCTGACCTCAAGCAATCCTCCTGCCTCAGGCTACCAAAGCCCTGGTATTACAGCCCAGTCCTTGGAGAGACCAGGAAATCCAGAGTTTTCTCCAAGAATGGGGATTCCTGAGAAGCGAGTTTCACATTGAGTCAAGAAAGGAGAATCATATACTGTCAAGGGCAATGGCCTGGAGCCTCAAGAACAGGGGAACAAAGAAGAGCTGGGCTTGACAGGATTATGGTGGTTCTCTGTCCCACCTAAAACCTACCACTACCTCAAGACCCCCTCAAGATGGTGACCTGTCTTGGTTTCAACACCTTAAACAGGAAACACTGGGAAGATGCATACTTCTCTATTCCATATCAGACATGTCTTACAGGAAACCCGTATATCTGAGTGACCAAAGAAAAGCATGAGAAAAATGTGAAATCTGTGCCAGGCCATTCACAATGTTTTGCTGGTGCCCTGGGGCCCACATGCATTTCAAGAAAAATAAAGTGTGTCGAATCTGCAGAAGACTGAAGTATGTCTGTCAGACCTGCCCCTTAGACCTGGAGCATGGCCTGCCCACCCAGGTTTGTGATGCTGAGTTGTCTTTAAAAGATGATACGCCAAAGTCAGATATCAGAGAAGAGTACTACAGGCAGAATGTGGAGAGAGGGATTTCTAACTCGAATGGAAGACGGCCAGTTGGCCTGCTGGGGGGAAAGCCACATCTACCAGTAACATGCTGGACAAACTGGCCTGGACCATACCTTATTACCTAAGGAATAAGCCCCACATTTGCTCCTTCTGGGTGGAGGGAAAGGTGAGAGAGGAGAGGAGTTTTGATAGAGACATGAGAAGCCTACAGGTCCACATGATTCCCTTGCTGATCAGATATTAAAGACCAATATTATACAGTCAATGACCCTGTAGCAGATAAGCTTCTATTGTAGGCTTCAACCATGCCTCATCTGGAACTCCCAGAGGACAAGACTATCCCCACGCTAGTTGGTGATCCGGGTGATACCATTACTGAGACAGATCTTAAGAAATAATCTCTACCTATTTAGAGAGATCTGGACAATCCCTGTAGTGCAGAGACAACGGTGTGCATTCATCCAGGTTTCCACAGGGCAGGCTGCACAAGTAGCTGCAGAGAAGTCCTTTAATAAGTTCATCATCCATGGCTGCAGACTAAGTGTAA